GGAGGAGTCGAGACTATCATCGTGGAAGTACCAACTCCACTGACAATAATTACTTCCACATGGTCCGGAACTGAAACTACCACCGTCACCGTTCCTGCACCATCTGGAGGAGTCGAGACTATCATCGTGGAAGTTCCTACTCCACTGACAACAATTACTTCCACATGGTCCGGAATTGATACTACTACCGTCACTGTTCCAGCACTATCTGGAGGAACCGAGACAATTATTGTCCAAGTTCCTACTCCGTTGACAACAATTACCTCCACATGGACCGGAACTGATACTACCACCGTCACTATTCCAGCTCCATCCGGAGGAGTCGAGACTATCATCGTGGAAGTACCAACTCCACTGACAATAATTACTTCCACATGGTCCGGAACTGAAACTACCACCGTCACCATTCCTGCACCATCTGGAGGAATCGAGACTGACATCGTGGAAGTACCATCCCCATTGACTACTTTCTCATCTTCATATACTGTTCCTACTTCCGAACCAATTGAAATTACTACTCCTTCTTATTCCACGAAAGTCTGGATTGGTTGGAATTCAAGCTCTGTGGTTTATTCTTCAAGCTCTACCGCATCGAATACACCTTTTCCATCTTTGTCTACATATCCAATACTGAGTCTGACAACAAGCCTGTTACCAGTTTCTGTCCGTCCATTTGAAACTGAGTATGATGGGACTACCCCTGTGGTCATCTCAGAGCCTGCTTCCACAATTGAAATCACGCAAGGAACTTCTACTCTATATGTTACCACATGCCCATCAGGAACTTGTAAAATAACTACCGCCATTGCTGGATATATCGTATCGGAGATTGACTCTACCACTCATACTACTTACTACCCATTGCAAAGTTCTACTCATATAGAGGTGGCCAATACGACCAATGGTATCAGTGATACGAATCCTAAACCTACTGGAAGTGTAACTGGATTAGATAACGTATCTGAATCAGTTCTCTCACATACGTCCTTTACAAGCCAATATTCAAGCAGTCAGAAAATACCCCCCACAATCCCAACTGGGCAACAAGGATCTGCTCATAAAACGTCATTTAGTTTGTTACCATTCTGCATTATAGTAGCATATATATTCTAATTTATTTCTTTCTCTCATTTCTAAGCGTTTTTTTGAATTCGGTTTTATATCTTACAGATATTACTTACTTAGCTACTTTTCTTTTATAGACTTAATATGATATTAATATTCAAAAAATAAATCGCTATTTTAAGAAACCTCATCTTCATTTATCAATCAAATCGTTTTAGTAATAATATGACAATGTAGTTCAAAAGCTTTGGGCAATTTAATAGATGGTTTCATTACCTTTGTCGACTATTTTTTTTCAAACTCATCAATGACAGAAACTGGAGGAACAAATTTACCTACTGGTTTATATTCAACATCCTCAAAAGCTGGTCCAAACGATTTAGGCCCTCCGACATCAAGTGCTTTTGGTGTGTCAACCCATAAATTGGAAGGAGAAAATGCAAGAACAAATACCATTACTCCATATCTATATTCCGGCGTACCTACCGCTTCACCACTGTCAGCGTAACAAACAGAAATCAAGTCAGGAACAGATGCAACTACTTCCCAGTCTTGTGTACCGTGCTTTTGAACTTTAGCTAAAATATTTTCGTTCTTGAAGGGAATAAGTAGTCTGTCTTTCTTGTCATTTTCAATGATTACTTCTCCATAAACATGTCCCTTGAATAGCTTCTTCTCCACACCTATGATTTTTCCTTTGAATATTTCGAGTCCTGATATAGATCCTCCTACTGACTCTAAGATTAAAGCAGGCAATTTTTCAAATTCTAATTTAGAATGAGCGATTTTCACAGCCCTTCCAATTCTCCAGGCAGTCGATAAGGAATGGTGAACAGTCATTGTTACTAATTCTTTAGAAGACATGGGGACATTCACAACACCAACATGAGCCCCTATTTCCGCTAAAGCGGCTCTCATCATTTTTTCAACGTAAACATCACTCTGAGCAGAAGTGATCAAGAAATCATTTCCGTTCCCATCAGAAACCGAAGATACAGTCAAGTACATTTCGTCACTAATTGCACATGGCAAAATCTGGGAATGAGTAGGATATGCTCTACCCATTAAGTCTGCGTCTATAACTGGAATATCTAAGTTGGTAGAGGATCCGCAGTATAGTCCCTTAAAGCCGTTTCCACCTCCTATTTCGAGGGGGAAGACTCCATCTGGCTTTGAATTTAGGTAGTCAAACATAGCCGCGCTAGCATCTTGTAATTCTCTCCCCTGTAATTGCTCATCTGCCACGGTTGGAGAGCCTGCAAATCCCACAGTGATGAATTTACCTTCACCTTCAGCATATTTAGGAGCATCATGTAAATTGATAACTCGCATTGTAGCTCCAGCACGAAGCATGTTTCTTGTCTCCAAAAAGATTGGGTAAGGTGTCCCTCCCCCTCCACATCCAAGAATATAAGTACCTATTCTAATATACTCTAAATCTGTTTCTGAAATAATCCATTCTCTCTTGGAATTAACTTCAGGTCTATAGGAAATGTGATCGAATGATTCTTCATCGCTATGCTTCGCTTTATCATCTCCAAAAGTTGAATCTTTGTATACAGCTTGAGACTTCTTCTCTTCAGAGTCTCTGGATTCAATAGCAGGCATTACTTCAATCTCAAAGTTCTTGATTGCCAAGGAGATCTTTTTATAGTCAATATCTGCTATAACCTTTATTTCAAATGAGTAAGTCTTCTCAACATATGGAATAGGGTCATAGGAAAGGTCAACAACCATTACTGTTGGTTTGAGACCCCCTTTGTTAACAATTTCTTCAGTGACTTCTTGGATCATGCTTTCGATGACAGAATCTTTATCAGATAAGCTGTCGAGCCTTTCTATTTTATGAATAGATGCTGATAATTTTCCCATTGCAGCCCCTATAGCATTTGCAACTTGATAATAGGGAGGACGATATACTTTGGATGCTCCATTGAGAGTTAATGGTGCAACAAATGAACCTCCCCCGACAAGTAAAACAGGCAAAGGTTCCGGACTAGTTCTCATTCTATCAATCACGCTTTCCAATTTGGACTTGACAACCGCTTCGTAGCCCTCAATATATGAATTACTGAAAAGACCTTTCACTCTCTGCATGTTGCCAACATCAAAAACACTATTTCCATCAGTTGTTGCAACCATCACATCAGTAGCCGTGATAGTATCACCACCAAATACTCTAGCTCTTGTCTTGATATCTGCTCCTACAGAATCGGGACCAACTGTAATAACTCCATCTCTATCTCTTACGATAGAACCACCCCCTAGTCCAATTGACTCAACGTGAGGCATAGAGAAGTTCATACGAACACCGCCAATAACACTATGAGCAAATGATTGACGTGGGAACCCTGAAGGCAATAGTAATCCTACATCTGTCGTAGTTCCCCCCACATCAACTACCATAATACTCTTTCCTGATATTTCTTTTTCTTTAGAACAAAGAAACGCTGCTCCTCGCATCGAGTTAGTTGCACCAGAGGAAAAAGTTCGGATCGGGGTAGCGAGTGCTTCCTTGACAGTTAAAACCGTCCCGTCATTTTGAGTCAACAAAATGGGACAAGTTAATCCTAAAACTCTAACTGATTTTATAAATGAACCAATAATTTTAGCTGCAAAGGCCAGAATTGAAGCATTCAAAATACTAGCATTTTCTCTCGCTAAAAGACCAATACCTGAAACTGTGTGAGACATCACGATTTGTCCATCTGGAATAACACTTCTAACTAGCTCTGCAGCCCTTTTTTCATGAGTTTTATCAATCACAGCAAAAATTCCGACGATTGCAACAGCCTTAATCCCTAATTCTTTAATCTTCGTAGCATGCTCAATGATTGCATTCTCATCTAACTTTTGGATTTCATTTCCATCAACTCTATGCCCCCCATCAATGTAACAATTGTAGGATTCGATAATTTTTTTCAATCCTTCGGGGAAATCTGAATATGGAAAGGAACCCTTACCATAAGGACCACACAAGCGCATAACAGCTACCGGTTGCAAACGAGCCTTATCTTGTTCGACAACCGCATTAATGAAGTGCGTAGTTCCAATAGTTACTGCTAGAACATCTTCAACATTACATTCTTTCTGCTTTTCAAACAACAGGCCAATTGCATTAGAGATACCTTCTGCAACATCAGCAGTAGTTGTAGACTTATGGAAAGAAATGACACCTCTGTTCTCGTCATCGAGTTGGTCGGGGTTTAATAATACAGAATCAGTATTGGTCCCACCAACATCTATTCCTATCAAGAGTGATTTAGTAACCGTCATTTACAGAATTATAATAGCTTTGAAATATAAAACACTTCGACAATACAATTATCTACCATCTTATCTGCCATTTATATTCGTAGTGAGCTTTCAGCGAAACCCTAGGTCGGAGAGAGGCACCTTCCTTGTTTCCAGTGATGATCCATATGAAAAGGAATATTTACCGAAAGCGGAACATTTTACGAGGATCTATCAAAACACATCAGAACGGAATCTTTATCGTAATATTTTCCTAATTGGGAACTTAACGCTTTAGCGATATTCATTGCACCACCACCAACACTTATCGGCATTATATAGAGAACTCATTTATTGCAGTTAATAAATCGCTATCTGAGAGGGGAAATGATGCTGTTATCATGCCACTCCATCGCCCGCTCAATCCTCGGTAAATTTGCCTTCATAACCTTAAATCACTCTTCTTTATCGTTTTTCCAATCGGACCCAGACATCGCAAAATTTTCCAATTTGGAACAATGAGATAACGTCTAACGATTTGACAGTATGCAACTACTGATAATGACTGGGCTATCGATGAAATGAGCCGCTTTAATTTTCATCTATAGCAACGAAAATAAATGTATAAATTTGCATCATTTCGAATGTATTGTATTTGTTGAATCTCGAAATCATCAATCTAAAATAGTTCAAGACATGCTACAACGCTATTTTGATTATCTTAAAGTTAAAGAAGGTGATGGTGTTCAAAAGATTACTTACCTAAGGAATAAAGATATTATTCCTATGGGACCCGAGAGAAGAATCTGGGGAGTTTGGTCTTTAACTTTCTATTGGTCTATCACGAATGTCACTATTAGTACTTGGTCTGGTGCATCTTCGTTACTTTCGTTAGGGCTCTCAGTGGGAGAAACAATGGGTATAATTCTTATTGGAAATATAATCATTGCAACGCTCGCACTCTTGAATGCTGCTCCTGGTGGCTACTATCACATTGGATACACAATTTCTCAAAGAGTTGTATTTGGTATCCGTGGGTCATGGGTTGGGATTATTATAAGAATCATTCTATCCATAGTATGGTTTGGATCTCAAGCTTATCTAGGTTCACTCTGCTTAAGTTGTGTCTTTGCCTCGTGGAGTAAATCATACTTGAATATGAAAAATACAATCCCTGATTCGGTAAATATGACAACTCAGCAATTGGTCGGCTTTGTCATTTTCCAGTTGATTTCGATTCCTCCTTTATTCGTAAAACCTGAAAGGTTCAACAAAGCTTTAATTGTTTCCTGTAGTGCAACATTTTTTGCTATGCTTGGTATCACTATTTGGACTGTTGCCAGAAATGGTGGATCAAATGGGCCATTGATGAATGAATCAGGAGATATGTCTTCTTCTACAAGAGGATGGGCGTGGATGTACGGGATTAGTTCTTGGTACGGTTCTCTTTCTTCGGGAGTTGCAAATCAGTCTGATTTCACCAGGTTTTCCAAAAAAACTTGGTCTTCCTTGTATGGAACGATTTTCTCTCTTGTGGTTGTTGGTACCGTTATTCCTTTAATGGGCTTGATATCAGCTTCGGCTATGAAAGGTAGATACGGAATTGAAATCTGGAGACCTGACGAAATCATTATGTACTGGCTTGATGAGGATTATTCTGCTACATCAAGAGCTGCTGCATTCTTCTGTGGTTTAGTATTCACCGTTTCCCAAATAACTTTCAACACAATGGGAAATGGCTATGCTGGTGGGATGGATTTGGCTGGAATTCTTCCTAAGTATGTTACGATTAGGCGTGGAGCTATAATTACTGCATTATTCTCTTGGGTAGTTCAGCCTTGGGATTTCTACAATACTTCTTCAACATTCGTCACCGTCATGTCATCTTTTTCAGTTTTCATGTCGCCAATCGTCGGTATAATTATCTCTGACTTTTGGATAATTAGAAAAAAGCATATAAAGTTATCACATTTGTATACTGACGATCCAAGTGGAAAATACTGGTACTGGAAAGGTGTGAATTACAGAAATCTAATTATATGGATCATTTGCTTTGCACCTGGGCTCCCAGGTTTAGTCAATTCGGCAAATTCATCGCTTACCATATCTCCAGGAGCTAAGAAGTTTTACTACGGTAATACACTATTCGAATTCGCTATGGCATTTTTCATGACATATGTCACATCGTTGGTCTGGCCCTATAAAGATATCGAAGAAGTAGACAGCTTTGACTATTTTGCTACTTGGACTGACGAAGAATGTGCTAAATTGAATATTGTTCCGTATCTGAAAATTACGAAGAACGATATTGAAATTGATCCAATAACTAGCGTTTTATCTAGTGAACAAGTAATAATCCTTGCTGAAGAACTGATTATTCAGAAAGAATAATCATATTACAAAAATCCTATATAGATTGTGAATAATTAATTAATATGGCTTAACATCTCGTTTTTCAACTTTATTCTTAATTTTAGTGGCTTCTGTTTATTCTCTATAACATTATACAATCGTAGTCCTTTTCATCAATGAAATCACCCCTATCAATAATGTTCCAAAATCTTTCTACACGCTCAACTGTATTTCTTGCTACATAAGTGCCATTTTCTATAATTGTCTTAAAAGCATCAAGGAACGTTTTTCTTTGTTCTCCAGGAGGTGCACACAATGCACCGATAAACAAGGGCCAGTGAATGCCTAGACCAAATATCTTGAATATATGAATTGAAGCCAATTCCTCCTCAATCCCTTGAACACAATGTTGTATTTGTGTACCGTAAATTGGACTCCCTAGTAATACTGAGTATATGAATATCTTAAGGGCAAAGCAGAAGCACCTATTACATGCTTTCATACATGCCCGCAACTTATAATCCTTTACGTTCAATAAGTTAAACTGTTCACTTTGAATCTCGGTAACTTTTTGAATTAGACTCTTACCCATTGAGTCCCTTTCATCGTTTCTTGGTAAGTTGTGTAGTATTCCTTCACAACCACTAAGGGAGATTCCTTCAGAACTACTAAATTTGAACATAAAGGTAATTAACTCAACAAACACTGGAGTAAGCAACTGAGAATATCCCTTCATTAAATTGAATCCACCAATTATAAAATCATTGTTTTCTTTGCAGTCATTAAAATTGAGACATTTGACTAGCCGGTTTATGCAATCAACAGATCCACCATTGGGGGCCGATAAGCAGGCCATAGTCTCTGCGGAAATAAACCAGTTTTTTGTCCACAAGTACATCTCCACTGCGTACCTGGTTTCTGTATCGGTCAAGTCAGATTTATCTAGCCCTTTTTGAACGTACAAGCCTTCACATTTTGTAAGTATCGCAAATGCACCTCTCAAATGAGTTCTCCAGGCATCCAGACGAGCTGCTGATCTCTCTGAACATAAGAACATAACGCAGATTAGGTAGCATGACATTTCTGAAAAGGAATCGCATTCTCCGACTCGATTTGATAAGTTAGACAAAGTCACCGTCATATTACGCTGAACTAAACAAAACCAGCGATCGTCAGAGCATTTCACATCCAATAGATTCCCTATCACTGCATTTACAGTGAAGGGTACAATAGAATACCTCTTCCCAAAATACAAAAACCAATTTGCTACGCAGTTTTCATTGTCATCTTTCACTAGAAGATAATTGTAGGCGCATTTGCTCTCTGAAAGAGTATACCAAAGAAGTTCTTGGGCCTCCGCATCATCTTCATGGAAATGGCCCTCCATGTTTACATTACCTCTCGCATCTATTTTCTCAACCAACTCTTGGTATCTTTCTCGGTCATACGGCTTCCAATACTTGACATAGTCAGGAACTTTCAATAAGTCTTGTTCTGAACAAGGCTCACTCGTCTCTTTACATCGCAAAATATCTTCCTTTAGTACTGTTTTTGCATTTCTATCGTTGAGGTGCTCCCTCAACTTGAAAATACTTGCCTCAATAGCGTTCAATGATGAACTAGCAGCGGAGTGACTCTTAGGAGTTGTTGTCTTCGGAGCTGTTGGTGGTGGCCCTGCCAGTTTTTGTGGCTTTTTTATTTTTCTGCCCTTGGTCTTTTCAACTCTGTTTTGCTTCGTTAGTTCTGGTTGGTAAAAGTGAATCATCTGGGTATATGTACATGAGATTCCCTTTCTAGAGCAATTGAGACAAGAAGGCGATCTTTCATCGCACTTGATACTGCTTCTCTTGCAATTTGTGCAACCGCTATGACTGTATCTACTTCTGCTTCCCATATCAAAGTTACCACTAGAATTTATGGCGTCACACCTATGGAAGTAGTTGTAGTTCAGTTTAAATTTCGATGAAAAATTATGCGATTATGCAAGGTATTATCAATCGGACCTTATCTTCGTCGGAACTTTACAGATATGGATAGGCTCTCACGCATCTGCAACATCTTCGAGAGAACAGAATTGAGTAACAGTTTATTTTCCAACAGATATTTTTTACTATTGGCCATTGAAAGTCATTTTTAAATATTAAAACAATTAGATAAGAAGACGGAGTATATAAAAGAAATATTTATCCGAAATGAAAGCCTAAAATAAGGATCCGGTTTTTCAAAATGGCGGCCATTTGAAATGGAAACCAGGTACTATAGTTGGAATATCAATAGGTGGAAGTCCCAATGGGTTCAAAGGATTGAATGTCTTGTGGAGTGGAAATAATAAAAATGTTAACAAAGCTGTTTTAAACTCATCACCGATTCCAACAATACCATTTGTGGTTAAAGCATTGGACACAACAGTCCTCTTTGAGCAGCCTCTTGTGCTTTCGCCATTCATTATCTTTTTAAGCCAGGTAAAAGCTGCTCCAGATCCTAATATTTGCTGGGTGACATGACCACCTACCAAGTCTTGGGAATATTCTATAGACACTCCAGCATCACATAAACGATTATACAAGTCATCAGCATCAGAAGCAGGGATGATTTCGTCTAAAATGGAATTATAGAAATACAATGGAATGGTGGGAACTAAGCCAGAAAGTATCATGTTGTTTTGGGTTGTAACGTTCTTGACAATTGGATTGTTCAAAGTATTGTCTCCGTCCTGGAAGTAATCTGTCCACGTAGCAAATGCGTACTCAGGAAGAGCTTGAACTAAACATTCGTTTTTAGCGTCTCTGAATTGATCAAGCTTGTCAGGGAAAACGTTAGAATTGATATAGTCATTTAAAGCTGGGTATTCTGCACTTAAGCCGTTCATAGCAGAAAAGATAAGACTTGCAAAGGGACTTCCCATATTTGTTTGAGCTGTGTGTTCTACATTGGCGACAATACCACCATATGCTGCACCGACATTATTCTTTGTAAGATCGGGGGCGTATGTTGGCAGCAATAAAGACGCCCACCCAGTTGCAATTGAGCCACCCGAATAGCCCCAGTAAGAGACCTTTGCATCTTGACTTATACCCGTTGTAGAACCAGACAGCAAGACTGCTCTAATTGAGTTCAAGACAGCCTTTCCTGCTTGAAGCCCACAACCAAAAGCAGATTTTGGGCCCTCGTAGTCGGGAACTACAACGTACCAACCTTCATTCAAAGCTACTTGGGCCAAGATTTGTTCAACTTGTGGAGAGATATAGCTAGAAGGATCAGAATTCAATTGCATAGCATATGATGGAGAGCAGTTAATGTTTGCGGAATCTTCTGCACTTTGATATGAAAGTAATTTGGAAGGATCAGCATTGTTAGGAATGAAAAGGGTAGTGGCAATTGCATTAGGGTTTCCAAAAGTATCTTCAGAACGCACTAAGAACTGGTATGTAGCATCTAAGATTTCTGGAATAACAATGACTCCAAAGGGATTATCTTTCTTACGGGACTTCAATATAGTTCCAACTGGCATGGATTCAAAGCCAGCTGGAGCTTCGTAGAAAGGATCATTGGAAGGATAAATAGGGACATCTCTCCTCTCCTGCGTTGGAGCAGCAATAACTGCAAGAGCGAAAGCTAAAAGGATGGTGACTATCTTCATATTTGAGAGGATTGTTACTCCAAGACCTTTCTTAACCTTTTCATTATCAGGAATTCAAGCTCGCTTTTATAGCCAAGGTGTTTGCTGTAAATAGTTGTTCAACAATTGTGAATTTCGTTACATTGTCTGAAGTCTTGCAAATTGAATCCATAATTACAAGTGCTATTCCATATTTCCAGGCCCAGCGCCGTGTCTTGTATGGGGAACTTACGAATATGAACAACCTTCTTCCTCTTTCATTTCTGAATTCTATTTAGCATGTTGGACATATTTACTATGAATTTCAAAAAGTACGACACCCTAAATTCTAAGCTTGAAATAATGCTCTGGAATGAGTTTGCAGCTTTCCATTTTTTCACAGTTCAATGTTCTTACAATAGAATTCTTTCAGACAATTATACTGTTCTCGAGTTCATCATTGTTCGCCAAAATTTATTCAACAGCTGGTTTATTCTTTCCCCATTCATGAATTCTCAGATATACTCGAGAGATATTACAGTTGCTAAGATGAAATTGAAGATGCTGGTAATTTATTTTCATTTTACGTGAAACGCCAAGATCTGAATATTCCATGTTATATTTTGACACTATTAGAAGAATCTGAACTTATTACCCATTCTTAACCTTTGGAACCTATAAAAACAAAACAAATATGAAATTATGCTCATTCAAATGATATATCAAGTCATCAAAAGTGTTTTATTACCCCTCAAAAGAAACGAGACCGTGTTACAAGAAACTGACATCTTTACTCAATTGGCTGGTATAAAACAATACAAAACAAGTCTAACAGTTTAGCTATTAGGAGAAACAATGTTGAATCCCAATTAAAGCTTGTTGTTTTTTTTTTATTTTGAGTGACTACAACGGACTAAAGGTAAATTTCAATTCACCTACTGAGAATTGACTGCTTTAGCTCCTATTCTCTCATTGGAACGGGCTCCGTCATCAATTTTTTTTGGTCTAAGACTCTACTTTCTGTATACTTCCAAGTTCTGATATCTCATTTATTAAACTTCGTCACTAATTAAAAGTAGGGCCGACGGATATGTCCTCTACTAAGAAGAACCAGCCTCTTTCTCTCTAATTATCTGCTTCTATATCTGCAAATACTCTTCTATGAAAATTTAAATAAATATTATTACAATAGTTAACACTATTTTGGACATGTTATTCTCTCTCTCTCTCTCTCTCTCTCTCTCTCTCTCTCTCTCTCTCTCTCTCTCTCTCTTCGTTGATATTTTCAAGGTAATTAAAGTAGTTCGTTGACTTCCTTGGCATGTTGTTTTGGATTAGCTCCATCATCATCTTCTCCTTCCTCTTCTTCATCGGTGATTATGAAATCTTGTAATGCAATATCTTCTTCGTCATTAGATGTTCTCAAATTCTTATATTCGGCAGTTGAAGATGTTCCATTTTCTAAATCCGTTGTTGGAGTAATGTTTTCCTCTTTGGGCTTGAAATATATCATTATTACCGCCATTCCAATAATTAAAAGTATTCCCAAGAAACTTAAAATTCCCGGTAAATGTCCCCAGATGACCAAATCCCAAATAATGGCAAATATCATGTTGGTATATGACATAAGGGCAGCTCTACCTGCCTTTTCACGTTGTACACCAGCTGTCAATGAAAATTGCATGAAGAAACCAGAAAACCCAATAAGTGAAAAGAGAAACCACTGGTACCCATTCTGTGGAATTGCAAAGGATAAGGAAGGGAGAACTAAAAGCAAAGCAAATGTGAAGATGACACAAGTGAGAGCGAAATAACTCACAGAAAGTAAGGGATGTGCTCTTTTACCAATCTTTCTCAAAATAATGTAGACAAATGATGCACCACATACACCTATAAGTCCAACTCCGGTAGCAAGTAATCTCTTTTCGGTAGATGATGACTCAATAGACTCATCTGCTGGCAGAGTTTCACTTGTATTGCCAAATATGAAATTGGGTTTGGCAATAAGGACAACTCCTCCAAGGGAAACAATTCCGCAGACGGCTTCCACAAGACTGTAATTTTCATGAATTATAGTCCAAGCAAGGAAGGCGGTAACCATGGGAATAAGAAAAGTAATAGCAACTGCATCAGATAAGGAAAGATACTGCAACAGAAAGTAAAGTCCAAATACCCCAAAGAACCCAACTATACCTCGCACAACCAATAGCGTCCTCACTTCTTTCGGCCCAAATGGATAATCCGGTACCGACTTGGTGATATACATGTATGCGATACAACAAAAGTATGTGATGATCATTCTTACAAATAAAATTTGCACGGGATGAATGGGAGTGTTGAAGTCCTTATCAGTCACCAATAGTTTACAGGTAGTCACCATAATGGAGTTGAAAAACTGCGATAGGATTAATAGCGAGCACCCAATATTTGGGAGCACCACTTTCTCATAAAATCGATAAAACCAGGACTTTTTGGCAGCGTTTCGCCAATATGTGGAGTTATCGAATTCTTCAGAATCCGCTGGGTATTCCATCGGAGATGAGGTTTGATTAGCATGATCCATACTTTATATGCCTTTTAGCTAATATTTTATCTTTCTTAACCTTTTCACTTAAATGAACAAAAATAAATATGAATATATTTCTACCTTTGTATGCGTCCTTGATCTATAACTCTACCGCTATACCCTATTAATCACACTATTTGATGTGTTCTTGTTGAAAAAAAATAAATGGCAAACTCTCATTTTCCTTTCAAATAGCTTCTTTGGGATCATTACGTGCGTTTATAAGCCATCCCTTCAATGTGTGGGTGTGTCACGGATTGCACGTGCTCGTAACCAAGCGTATCAATCATGATAAGTAGGGCGCAGAAAAGTTGGGGTGGATCATGGTTGGCCCGGCCCAATGGTCCTAAGAGAGGTGAGAAGGAAATAGCTGGCTATCTTGGAATCTTTTAAGTAACGGAAGGGTACTGCCAGGCTGTAGAGATATGTTTAATGATAGACTTGGAGATGAATAGATCTTCACGGCATCAGATTGTTGGCAGATAAAGGGGGAAGGCTCTACTGGAAAAAAGAAATTCACACTCCAGGTGATCTGCGGTTATACACGATGTTGTAGCAAACAAAACGTCCGAGCCACCTTCGTTTTGTTAAGGTTTGGCCATATAGAGTAGAAAGATCAGGGCTCTAGTTTTGAGCGAAAAGATGCCAGAATATCTGGCTAGTTTGTACCAATGGTTCTCTTTCTTGAGTGCTAGTACAGTGGGAGGATGTCTACCAAACTGTGGGGCTCATTGGTGGGGGATCGATCGGAATTGGTGATGGAAAACCTTTTTACGAAAAATAGTGTAAGCTCCACAGCTTTTGCTTTAAAAAAGTTATTATTATGAAATGTGACAGGTAAAGCATGTTGACGTACTCTAGACTAGCCAATTTACACTCGGTCGGAAATGGTTGAGTTTTTAGTAATGTACAAGCTTAGTTGAAACTGCGGAGCAAATCGACTGTAAGAAATACTGCATTTGGTGCAAGACTCAGTTTGGAAAATCTGGTATTTGTCCTCCTCTTTCTTTCTCCGCAACAGCTAAGTTCTTCTATAGTATCAATTGGGATGAATTCAATCGCTAATGGCAGTCTTGGGGTGCAGTTAATTCCGCAATAAAATTAGTCTCGTTCTAAAAGCAAGCTCTACCCACTAAATTCCACAGCCATAGGATGAAGAGGTGATCTGAAAAATGTAGACAGATGAAGAAAATGCCCAAGATCAAACTAAACATGAAAGAGTGTCTCCATTAGTAAGATCCAACCCCAGCCAAATGCTTTGTAATGAGAAAAGAGGCCAATTTGTAAGAAACGTTTGGCTAGAATATCGAAGAAAGTGTTGCAGTGGGTAGAGAAATGTAAGCACTAGGCTTATGTAAGCAGGCTCGGTCTTCGGTGTTCTCTCTGCTTTGATGATCTGCAACCTTATAAATGGGTGCAAACAGACACAATTTATGATTATTGTTTCATTTTATTAATACTATCTTGATACCCTAAGAAATTAGAACATAAACAAGTGATCTAAAATAATCAAACATACAAATTATCGAAATGGTTAACGTACTCATTGCAATTACTTCTTACAATGAAGTTTTTCACCCAACTGGCGAAAAGACTGGACTCTACTATACCGAAGCAATCCACCCATTTGAAAAGTTACATGCTGCTGGTTACAATGTTCAATTCGCCTCGGAAACCGGTAAATGGGGTTATGATGAACACTCTATCAAGAAGGAGTCCTTGAGTGCAGAAGACTACGAAACCTTAACAAATGAACAATCCGAGTTCAACAGGACATTGAAAAATGTCAAGAAGGCTTCAGAGCTTGACTCTAAGGACTATGACATCTTTTTCGCCGCTGGTGGTCATGGTACCGTATTTGATTTCCCAACTGCAAAGGATTTACAAAGTATTGCCGCCGATGTTTACGCTAAAGGAGGAATAGTTGCTGCTGTCTGTCACGGGCCAGCTATTTTTGAAGGTTTGCTCGATAAGACTACAGGTAAACCATTGATTGAAGGTAAGAAAGTTACTGGATTCACTGATGAAGGAGAAAAGCTTTTGAATCTCGACGGTGTTTTTGCTTCCAAGAACCTCAAAACCGTGAGGGTAGTAGCAGAAGAATCTAAAGCCATCTATGTTAGCCCCGAAGGTCCATGGGATGACTTTACAGTGACAGATAGCAGAATTGTCACTGGAGCCAATCCCCAATCTGCTGCATCTATTGGAGCAGAAATTGTTAAGGCTTTCAACGCATTATAAGTGCATTTTTATGCCTAGAGAGTAGTTTTTAAATTGGATTATATATGGAAAATAAATGGCATTTATAACTTTACATATAGTGAAGCCACTCCACAGTGAAATAGCCTTCTATCACATTCAATCCTAATCGCAGGTATTTACATCGAGAAAATAATTTCGGCTATACATACTTAGAGTAATTAAAGATGGAATCTTAAAATGGATCAAATCTTCCTTGTTACACTTGATTTATAAAGTTTCAGGGAATCAAATTTTTTTTACTTTCAAGCACGAGTTTCTTCAATGAAATGGGTCCGAATAGGCTTTACTCGTATGATAATACTGACAGAAAGTGGACGTGAGTGTAAAGTGAGAGAAATTTGTGTATATTTTTTATCGAAAGTGCGTTTTCAAGATAATATCGATGAGTGAGTTACGGAGTGCGTTGGCTCGTAAAAATAAGTGCCGTCCTGTATTGTTTTTTGCTCTAAAATGCTGACTTTTATTCCCTTTTGTTTTGCTCGAGTTGGGTAGCCTTTGGAACCCTGCAGCTCTTACTAGCTTAAATATCACGAACACTTAGACTGGAAACAATGATGAACTTCTTGATTCTAACTACATCAGTTATTCGCAAAAGTTTTTACGCCAAGGCAGGCGGCTGCGGTTGTGATGCTTTCGACATTTACAAGGAGCCGCACGTCAAAAATAAGTACAAGATCCACGGCTGGGGAGGTGTTGATTGGTGGACAGAACCTATCCACCTCTATACTCCCTGATTTAATCCAAATCAAGTCTGGATGCAAATAATAATTAAAATCTGGATGCTGATCTGAGATGGTACTACGTAACTCGTAATAGTCAGATTCTCTTCTCAGCACTTATGTTTCTTACCTTTCTACTGAGAATTGTATCAAGTACATTAAATTTTTCGGTAAGGCGAGCCGAAATGCACTCTATTTCCCAGAAGCCAATACCGAAGGAAGTACTGCTCAACATAGTTGAAGAAAGAAATAATCGAAAAACCTATTGATCGTATTCTTTCACGCAAAATAATACGACAACGGTAATATTATTTGACGCAACCCTATTACGCTAACCCATTTGGGACTACTTCATGCGGTACATTGGCTGCAAATGCAGATGCGAAGAAAAAAATAATTCTAAGGCGGTGTGAACGATGGAGTGTTCGTTATAAATACATAGCAAGGGCCCCAAACAACATCATCTTATTCATATGAGTAAGCTAGAAGTAAGGTTACAAGATGGTGCACATTTCTACGCAAATAGCCAGTATTTTGGCAGTGGTGGCATGCGCAAAATCAAGTCTCGTTGGTGCTTCTTCCCACAATGGTGTACCTCAACAAGCTGCCTTGGAGAAGCGTGTGACTGCTTCTGTCTCAACTGTAATTTATACTGAGACCTGGACAGACTCTTACACCACTACAGTAGTGTATGATTTTGGTAATACTGTCGGATTAGATATCAAAGTCCCAATCCCAACCTCCACTATTTATTCAACTTGGGCGGACTCAACTACATCCTCATCTACAGAAACAGCTGCTATTGGGGGGACTGCAACATTATACATTGATGTTCCTACTCCAGTAACAACCATAGTTGCTACTTGGAGTGAATCTTACACCACTTCAATCACTGAAGATGCAACTGTCGGAGGGACGGGGACCGTAATAATTAATGTCCCAATTCCTACTCAAACCTTTGAACAATGGACTACTGGTGTAAGCGAAGTCTCTGTCGATACATACACTGTACCTGTTGGTGAAACGGCTACAGTTATAACCTATTACCCATACCAGACCGATTGGGCTACTCAAACATGGGGATTATCTTTTACGTATACTGCTGAGAGTATAGATGACTACCGTCATATAATACACAAAGTGGTTGACCTCCCATCTTCTACCACAACTACTACCACTACATGGGATTCATCTATTACTGCTTCTACCACAGTCAGGCAAGGTGATGGTACCAATGTTTTGATTATTGAAGTCCCAGTTCCGACAGAAACCCTCACATCAACCTGGACAGGTTCGACTACGGCTGTAATTACTGAGGTTGCATCTGCTGGTGGAACAGGTACTGTGGTAATTGATGTTCCAATCCCTACTATAACAACCACAGTGACGGATGATGAATTGCACACAGCATTCACTTTGACCATGACTGCTTTCATTGGGGGAACAGCAACCGTAAATGTCTATGTGCCAGTAGCTACTTCCTCATCAAGTAACACGGGAACTTCCTCAACTACATCTTCTTCCAGTGAATCCAGTTCAACCAGCGGTGCGTCATCGTCCTCAGAAGCTTCAAATTCTTCATCGGCATCATCTTCTATTTCAGAAACTTCCAGTACCACTGTCTCGAGCAATGATTCATTATCAGTTTCAGAAGCTTCAACTTCTTCAGCATTAAGTTCACTCTCTTCTGGGTCGTCCACTTCAAGTACAGTCTCTTCGTCAACTTCGTCACTGTCCTTCATTTCAAGTGGCTATTCTAACAGTACAAATTCTAGAACAATAGTTGAGACAAGTACGCAAAGCACAACTGTAGTCATTACGACTTGCTCTGATGGTTTGTGTACGAAGGTTCCGCTTGCTTCATCGTCTTCTTTTGATTTTACTTCCACAGATACCTTTATTCACACTACCGTCATAACAATTACCTCCTGTTCTGATCATAAGTGCAGTGTAGTACCGGTTACAACAGGATTTACGACTATCACTGAAGATTATACCACATACACCACCTACTGTCCATTATCTGTTGCATCGGAAAACTCTGCGACTATGAAGTCCATTGTTGTGCCACTGGAAGAAACCTCACAAGCTGGGACTATCACTTCCACCTCTACTTCTGAATCGGTAGACCAGAGCATAACAATTGAAACTTATACCACCACTACCAACTCCGGTTCAGAGGCAGGTTCTACATCCTCACCAGAGCCTGTCGAAATTTCTTCGAGTACTGGAGCTGCTGCATCTGAAACCGTCTCAACATACGAAGGTTCTGGATCTAAAAATCTCATTTACGGTACATCTTTCATCGGCTTCTTGCTTTCCATAATCTTCTAAATTACTTCTTTCGATACCATTACAAATTTCTCCTAAAGACATTTTATATTTCGTTACACCACTTCAGAAGAGGTGGATCTATTTTACTTTACTTTATAGCCCTACTTAATAAACACTCCGCATATAAGCCCGGATAGAACCAAATCCGGAAATAGTAAGATGAAAATCGACTCTCCATCCATTTTCTAGACCTCCCTTCAATTCTGTCAGCTGTGTATCAAAGCAACCTAATGCCATTCCAGAAGTATATCAGTCTATTATAGTTTAGTATAGGATTGGTCTTAGGTGTGAAAACTCGCAGTTTTTTTCTTCTCGTAGAAAGACTTCGTGGCCAAGTTGGCTAAGGCGTGAGACTGTTAATCTCAAGATCGTGAGTTCGACCCTCACCGAGGTCGGCTTTACTTTTTTTTGCTCTTGGACATGAACCCACAGTAGGAAACGACACTATACACTGGTTCTTGCTAAATTAATGTATATTTGGTTTAATTGTACTTAGAAACTTCTATGAATGTCCCATATTTACATATATATTACAATTGGAAGTAGTTATTCCTTCTTGATTTCTGTTTTCTCCTCCTCTTCGTCATCTTCTTCTGCTTCCTCTACTTCCATGCTATCATCGTCGTCGTCATCATCAACATCGCTCCCGCTATCACTGTCGCTGTCACTATCACTGTCACTGCCACTTGCACGGCTACTTCCATCTTCATCTTCTTCTACGCCAACCTGGTAAGTTCCATCTTCGTCTTCGTCATCACTCTCTGCCAAGTCTTGTCCTTCTAAAAGGGCACCCAACTCGGCACCAGCTCTTTTGCCTGTTGCATTTTCACCGTCTCCATCTTCACCTTCTGCATCTCCTTCGTCATCCCCATTATTCTTCTTGACCTTCTCTCTCAAGTCATCATTGAAGGAATTATCATTGATTCTTTGTCCCTTGATAAATGAATCTAAAACCGAATAATATTGTTGGTCTATCATGCCAAGTTCCAATGTTTCCTCCTCTGCTCCTTCGTGTTCAATTGTGATGAGTAGGCTGAACGTAATCCTTGTGATATTAGTATATGATATATGCTTCACACGAGAAAGCTCGAAAATAAGAATTGGCTTTTTAAATCCAAAGATCAAATACGGTTTGGTTGAATTCGAGGCAGAAAGTAAGAGCAATGAGCCTTCCTTTGAGCCCTTGTAGGCTGTTACCATTACCAATGAGTTTGGAGTCTGTAATGAATCAATTGCAATTCCTGAATCTGTGTTCAACGCAAACGTATTCTTGTTCCCACTAGCTAAGGGGTTTGTTGAAGGCACATGGTTCACAAGATTGATACCACACAACTGGAACTGGCGTTGGAGAAAGTCTATGATAGCATCGTGGATGGGATCTTCATCAGACTCTTCCGATTCACTATCAGATCCGTCACCGCTCTCCTGCTCTGGTGGGATTTTGCCTGCTTCGATCAACTGAACTTTGATCAATTCGAAATTTATTTGGCATATAATAGGATCGCTAGAGTTATTTAACCAGATACAAAGCAAGGCAACCTTCTTTTTTGAGTTCATGGAGCTACCCAATATTGGCAATAACATGCACAATTTGATCAGTTCTCCCAATTTATTAACGGATACTTCTGGGATATTCGTCTGCGGTGCCACTATGGACAATATAGGTTCCGGGGGTGCATCTGGCTCCATAAGTAGATGGAATACCAAGTTCAACTTCTTTCTTAATGGAGACTGGAATGAAATCTGCTTTAGTTGGAATATTTTCTCGGATTCAAGTATAGGTTTGGTAATATTTAACGTAAACGACTCATGTTCTTCCAATTTATCAGCTGGTTGTGGAGTCTTTGTACTTTCCTTCTTTTTATTGACTGGTGATGTTTTTTGCTTCTTGGCAGGTGGTTGTTTATCCGATAGATATGTGTGTAAATGTTCAAACACCGGCTTTGTATCAGGGTATTTCGATATAGTCGATATGATAGACTGTTTTAGGGATAAAGGAAGTTCATCAATCCAAGTCATGGTCAAGACTATGAAAAAATAAACAATAAAGGAATATTCAGTTAAGCAAACTCCAAAAGAAAAATTAAAGCGCTAATATCAACAGACCAAAAGCAAAATTTACTTAAAGAACGTCAAAATAAGATTTGTATTGATAATTTGACGCGATCTGATAACCGCAGAAGCAATCTCACAAGGTTGCAGAAGACGGTTAGAGTAGCACTGTGGGCAAGAGTGGAGGAAAAAAAAAAGTTAGATATGCTCCTAACTAAAGCTATGAGAAAAAACGAAAGGATAGCGGAGGAAACTTCTCGAGCAAATGGTAAACAATTACCGAAAGCAAGCTGAAAGTTTCTTTGTTCGTGAAGCCGGAGCCCTGTGAGATAGAATGGAACTGGATGAAGAGCTCTTTGCTCCAAATTCATCGTTGCTCAAGATTATACCGCTGTTGATCAAAGATCTATTCTACTATGAGGAGCTGAGTCGCTTACTATCGAGGTTTCTTCAATCGGACGTCAGTGGTCTAACGCAACAGAGGATTGAGGGCCTTAACCCAGCTTTGAGGCTGTTAGCTATTGATGAAGACAAAAGCGTTATGCTTACGTTGATGTTGGGGAGGTTATTCATCGATGCATTTGAGATGTTGATGGATAAGTGCGTAGAATTTGAAGTTTGTGTGGAAGAGATCGAAAACAAAGGCGAATTGGTGCAAAACTACTTGAGTGGTGACTTCAATTCCAAGGTGCCCATTTTGGTCACTGCAAAGCAGAAGATGTCTCCTTTTCCCTCATCAAAGAGAGTAAATGAAGAACCAATTGATGCTGTACGACATCGCGTTCTTATAAACGAATTGGCTCGTTTGGAAGCTGGAGATCAAGAAGCAAGTCCACCTGATTTCGGCATCTATCAAGTGTTCCTGGTGGATTTGAAATCTTGGTATTGCAATTGCGATGAATATCAAGATCAGATGGCGGACAACTCGGAAAATCATCCTGAGGCATACAGGAAAGAGAAGGGTGAGTTTCTGCTTAAATCTATGGAAGAGATTATCTCGCAAAGTAGAGGAGCATCAGGGCTATTGCTAGATATTCTCACGTCTTCTGAAATTCCTACAAGGCATAAATCACCTCTTCCACTCTGCAGCCATTTACTAGCAGTTATTATATGTTCGTACAATAGAAAAATCGAACTATACAGAGTGAAGTAGTGTAGAGCTGATGAGCAGACCTAAGGAATGAAGAGAGATCGAGCTTTACAGAGTGAAGTAGCATAGATAGGTAGAGCTGAACAGGCGACTTAAGAAATCGAACAATACAGATTATAGCAGGTCTGGGTCATGGATAGACAGAGCTGAAGAGCAAAGCTACTTGGGACGACATCAAGAGAAACGGGGAGTTTTTTTCAAGAATCCAAGTATCCAAGTATCCAGTAGAAGTAAAGGTCTACTTAGGAAGAAGGAAGAAATTTGACAACGTTCATAGATCACTACGAGAGTACCTAGTACCTACTTGGGAAGAAATGAAGAAAGTTTAACCACGTTCAGAGTGCAATAGGAGACTACGCATTAGACGAACCTGATGCAATGCGGCTAAAGGCTTCCTCATCAAAGGAATATAGACTTGGATATTCTTGTAATCTCAATGTAACCAGTACACCAGCTCTAGCACTTTTAAGATCTTTAGTAGCACATGTAGCAAATATCCGTACAATGTGTGTGCAATTTCTTCGGTCCATAGTTAGTTAACGTCCGTATCGTGTGCGAGGAATCCTTCAGCCCACAGTTAAATAGACATGTAGAAAAGTGGTAGACATCTCGTAAATTGCAACCTTATTGCGATATTCTCATGTCGTAATATGCGCCTAAAAGGAGCACCAACCAAATAGAGCGCCAGCCAACAGGAGCACCTAAAGGGGTGTTTACTGTTCAATATATGTCCTAAAAACCTGCTTCTCTCCCTATTTGAGCCATGTCGCTGCCCAGAAGCCCATTTTTTTAGCATCTGGCTCTAACACCCAGTGTAGCACGATTATTTAACCCCCAGAGCCACTAATCTTGGTGCTCACATAATCATAGGAAAATCTCAAATTCAACCAATACAATGAAAAATAAATTGCAACAATTCTAATACGCTGTAGTGTGATCGTAGAACGCATCTCGTGAAGCTGCAGGTCCAGCAAGCCTAAAAAAGAAAAGGAAGAAAAAAAGAAAAGAAAAGAGAAGAAAATAAAAGACAACACAGCAGGGTGTCAAGGGCCATCTAACTGTCTAAAACCCACCCTAACGACCTTATCTCAAAACCAACCCAACTGAGCGCCTACCCTCCTCCTCCTCGTACTTTCTTTATCATCAGGTCGTGCCCTCCTCAGTTGCAATGGTGGACTGGTCGATAATTCTCGAAGAAAAAAAAAATCTCTCACCAATTTCGGCGACCACCCACAAATGACACAAAGTTGCGCTCACTGAAACTTTTCAAAAATTTTCCAAAGAAATTTAATTAGAGGCTGGAGATCACCTTCCTTTTCTACAACAACTTAGCAATACTTCAAAGTATACACCATAAATATATTTATTAAGACATAAAAAAATACATAAAAAGGTACCTTTGACTGTTCTTTAATAATAACTTTTGCATAATCCAAAATCTAGAGCAGTTTCAACAGGACTTTCATAAACCCAACACAGCATTTATAAGGGAGAATTTTGTGCTAATACAAAGACAAATCAAGAAGAATCCTGAAATTTCATACTGACTAATTAGCTTTTATTCAGTATAAATTCTCGTCAAATTTACATTCCTGGTCTTATTTATTTCAACATTAGATCAGCAAGAAGGTTTGTGTCGTCCATTAGAACTGCCATTCCTCTTTAATTCCATCGACAACCGCCCCTACCCACTTCGTTGTAAGGAAGGCTTTCATGTTAATTTCCTTTGAACTCCATTTTAAAGACTGCATATAATTTTTGATTTCCATATAGCTCACCGCCTTACAGAAAGAAGAGTCAAAGTACAACCCGAATACATGTCACCATCATCGAACACAACCGCTGCTTCGACGGCTACTGGGCCCCACCGGTTCCGCTCGAGTGCTGCCAGTTTTTCCCCTAGCCAGCCGTCCAATATACAGCTCCAGCAGCAGCAACAGCAGCAGCAACAGACCCAACAACAGCTCCAGCATCAACAGGGACAGCACCAGCCGGGCCAAGGACCCCCAATTCACCACCTGTCTCATCTTCACCACCAACAGCAACAGCAGCACCACGCCGCTGCTGCCGCTGCTGCTGCTCAACAGCAGATGTACCAGCAGTATATGTACGCCGGAGTACCGCCACCTATGTCTGTTAACCCTTACTACCCACAGTATATACCGCAGAATCCATATATGCCAATCCCAGCTGCTGCATATAACCAGTTCATGAACCCATACAGTCAGCCGTACAACAGTTTTGGCCAACAGGGCTACGCCAACGGCGGCTATTCACCTACTATGCATAAAGGCTACAACAATGCTAACACTAATAATACTAATAACAATAATAATAATGGATACAAGAGTTACCATAAGGGAGCCAGGAGAGAAAGAGGTGATACCATCAACAATGGGAGTAGCGGTAGTACCACTAGTAATAGCAACGGCTCCGATTCCAACGTACATTCTTCGGCCACAACTAAGAAGGACCAGATAACTCCTGAGACTCCTGAAACCACTCCTGCTTCAACCACGCCCCCAGCTTCCAGTACTGGGACATCGGTATCTACATCAGCATCATCGTCATCGGAAACCACTCCTTTCCCAGAGACTAGGAAAGAAACTAGCATCATAAAAAATGAGGAGGTTGAAAACAAACTGAAAAATCAAGAGATCCAAGAAGTTGTGGATAACGGCGAGGGAAGAGAGAATGATACAAAGCATGAACAAGAAGACAAACTGGATACAATCAGCATTTCCAGCATTCAAACGAATTCAGAACTCGACATTTGGGAATCCATACTTCATTCTCTTCCCGTCGAAGACATTTCTAATGTTCACTTATCATTTCCAATTTACTTTAACACAACTGCAACCGATTTTGCATCTGATTTCAAGGCATCTCATGAAGATAGAAAGGAAAGGCAGAGGATAACGGGAGAACAGTTGAAAGAAGAAGGTGAATTAGTTGTGATAAAAGCCACTAATCAAGAAGATGTGGTTGAATACAAGAAAGAAGAAAAGCAGCAGCCTCAGCAACAGCTGCCTGGAGGGAACTGGGCTGATATGTTACAAAAGAAGGCAGCAGCTGCAGCAGTTGCTGCTAAGAAGACTGAGAAGTCTGTGGCTTCATCTCCAGCTGCATCTAATACCAGTGCGCCAACAAGCAAGCAAAGTGTATCAGAGGCTCCAACTAGTGAACCTTCAACCTTCCCGTTGGGAGTCACTTTGCTCAAGCTTATGTTTGACTCATCATATTCACCTTTTGCGCACGATTCTCCAATATTCAAGATAAAGCCAAGAGGTTTGACCAATACGGGAAATATTTGTTATATGAATGCTGTGTTACAAGTATTGCTCTATTGCGAACCTTTTAATAGGTTATTCAAAATAATAGAACTGAAAACTATCGGGTCACTTTCTACCAAGTCTAATACTCCTTTGATGGACACCACCATTAATTTTTTCAAAGAATTTGCTGCCAAGCAACAACAACCAGGTCCAAAAGCATTGAGCCCAGAGAAATTCTACTTTCAATTGATCAAATTGCCAAAATTCTCACATCTTAAATGGGGTCAACAAGAGGATGCAGAAGAGTTTTTAGGGTACTTTTTGGATGGCTTGCACGAGGAGTTTGCTCTGGCATTGAAGAGCTTACTGCCCGAACAAATCGAAGACGTTTGTAAGACCGATACTACACCTAACTTCAAGCTTAACGTTAAAAGCACAATGAAGATAATAAACAAGACAGCAGGTGAAGAGAAGAATGATAATGAAGACTCGGATTCTGATTCCTCTTCCTGGAATGAAGTTGCAGGAGGGGGTAAAAAGGTTGTGGCTGCTAAGAGAACAGTTGAAATAGAACCTACTCCTATCAGCTCTCTTTTCGTTGGTCAATTCAGATCTGTATTGACCATCCCTAAATCTAAGGAATCGCAACTGATTACTTTGGACCCATTCCAATGTATCCAGTTGGATATATCTGACTCCAGAATCAGCACCATTGAAGATGCATTCAAGATCTTCAATGAACTGGAAGACATTCCATACAAAACCTCAACATCATCCCAAGTTATTGCCAAGAAGCAAACGTTCATCGATGCCTTTCCGAATGTAATGGTTATTCATTTGAAGAGGTTTCTGTACGCTGCTGGCAAGGCTAATGAAAATGAGTTTAACGACAATGTAAATAATAATATTGATGAAATTAATAATGATAATAACGATAATGAAGATGATAAAGATAATAGTACTAACAGCAATACTAATGAACTTGGGTCTGTTGGTAAATTAAGGAAGAAGGTGAAATACACTCATACATTTACCATTCCTAACGAATGTATCTCCCCTGCAGTCAAGAAGCAACAACCAAATATATCCAAGAGTTACAGATTAATTGGAGTGGTTTATCATCATGGTAACAGCACTGATGCTGGACATTACACTTCTGATGTTTTAAGAAGATCATCTGTTTTCGACGAAGAGGATGAATTGATAGGAAAGAAGTTTGACAATGAATGGATTAGAATTGATGATACTCAAGTCCAACAAGTCGATAAACTAGATGTATTGAATGGTGAAGAAGGAAGCAAGACTGCATATATCTTGATGTATCAAAAGATCTAGCTGTTTAATTAGTTAGCAAAATAGGGAACTGTGTATTAAAAAGGAAGCATTCATTACTTGGAATATCATTATAGAAAAGGTGGAGAGGTGGACAATTTAAATCGGCGTACTATAGATGTCTAGAAGACAAAAATACGTGTACAAAGAAATAAAAATAAATGTATAGAAGGAGAGTTTTGCGTAGGCTGTGTAGATCTTTAGTAGAGTAAGAGTGGGTTTCCAAGGCATGGGCATTCTGCAACAGAAGAGAAGAGAGTAGGTACCCTAAGGGAACAAGCAACCTGGTCATCGGTAGTCTGAAGGGAGAAAAAGAGCACATATTCGTTGCTTATATGCCGAACTGTCCATATCATAAGCTTATATGGACCAAGGCTAATAGGCTAAGAGGTAAAGTAGTCTTTAATGGGCTAAAATATTGTGCTATTTTTTACCACAGTTGAGTGGGCCCAGGAGTAGCACTGCTGTTCAGTGGTTTTTTCGACCAGACCTTGTTGGAAAGCTATAATGTTTGCCCAAGAACACCTGCTTCAACCTCAGCAGAAGATGAGTGAACTCCATCGCAGAGGGTCATTGTGCAGGACCTGTAGGTCCCACAGTTGCCCAGCTTTAAGATCCTCTGGATATCTCGCTACTTCGCTAAATTGAGCTTCTGCGCAGGATTCTAGGGGTAAATCACAGTTATGCTGGTTGCACTTAGTTTCACGAGCATAAATCTTCGATACAAAGCCGCCCAGTAAGGTACGGAAAGTGATAAGATAAGCAGCAAGAGTCACAGAAGAGAAGAGCAGCCGTTTTTCCAAGTATTGGAAGGAAGAAGTATGCAGTAATTTCCTGGCACTATAGCCCAGTTAAGTTTGATGAGTGAGAGGAATAAAAGGAAGCACGTGCTTGGGCAAGCTAGAGAACCGGCTAGTGCTGCCTAACTAAGACCACCAGCACCTAGCGGATGAACCAACCAGCGTTAAACACCTAACCAAAGCTAAAAGAGAATGGAAAGTAGCTTGACTACGCCTAAGGTCTCATGACCCAGTTGCATAGGGAACTTATATTTAGAAACAGCATTTAGATTGAAAGAAATTTTTCAGTGAGTAAGTAAGCGGAAGATTGTCTCACTAAGCCCAGAACCACATCGTTACCGATTCAGAATTCAGATTAGATACAAGATTCCCGCATCAAATTTGATTGAGACAATTTTACCTCCCTATTGAAAATGAGACAATGCGGTCCCCATGACCAGTACTACAATAGGCGTCCCACACCTAAACTACGTAAAGTTCCACCAATGCAGACCTATAGGCTAATAGGCCAATAGACAAGTGCAGGTAAATAGACGACCAAAATGAAGTGCGTAATTTTGGTCCCACTCCTATGCACTTGAACCAGCCCGTAAACTCTAAATCGCAAGGAGAAAAAATTTTTCCAAAGCAGAAGGAAAATTCAAAATAGACTCAACTCAGCCCGCCTCACACCGCTTTGGTACATGGAAAAGTTCCGACCTGACCATAGCAAACGAGGGCTAGTTGCATGTATCTAAAAGTAAAAGAAAAGATGCTTGAAATTTGACACTACATTCTTGGTTAACCATTACTAAAATTTATTATTACATAGATACATTATCTAACAAACTTAGAATAAAGCAGCGGCAACAGCGGCGACACCGGCAACGGCACCAGCAGCAACCTTACCAGCACCGTTAGCGGCGGTGGTGACGGCAGCGACAGTAGAAGAAGCTGGAGCTTCAGTGGTGACGTAGGTGGTTGGGATGGTACATGGACCGGTGATGGTTAAAGTGGTGGCTTCAGTGACGGTGATGGTCTTGTTGTTAACAACGAAAGCAGTTGATTCTGGACAGTAGGTGGTGAAGTCAGTGACAACAATGTCGGTGGTAACGGTAACGTTAGAAGCAGCGACGTAAGAAGCTAAAGCTAATGGAGCGGCGATCTTGGAGAATTGCATTGTGTATTAATAAGCGAGTGACTATTGGTAAAGAAGAAAAGAAGAAAAAGTAAAAAAACATTAAAAATTTTAGGGACGAATTGGTCCTTTTATATTTTCCCATTGGTTAGGGAAAGGCAAAAAAATACTCACTTGAATGGCAATGTAAAAAAAAAAAAAAAAAAAAAAAAACATGCATAGCTTGCATACATGCATGAGCCCAAGAATGAGTGCTAAAATTCATCCACGATTAGGGGAAGAGAATAAAACAACAAATAATGACAATTAAGGCTAAGGCTAAGGCTCAAATTTTAATCATACATGGGGGCACTTTAGCTTGCATGATGGGAAGATTATTGCTAGTGGATGTTGAAGATAAAGTAAATGGTCTGAATGGAAATGTTTAAATTATAAGATTTACCATAAGAATTTCCACCCTAGCAAGATTATAGTTATTTTCAGATTATTCAATTCAAAAATCTCTTAGCCCTTTCTTCAACCGACTTTCCAAAGAATTCTTTTGGGTAGTTTTCAGTTTCTTCTTTTGGTTACGAGAAGGATTTGCTAGTTCCGAACGGTAATCCATCGTGAATTCTACAAATCCCTCACCACTACACTCCCTAATCCCATTTCCCAAGATAGCACTTTCAATGTTTTGCGAGCCCAATTCTCTTCCCAGAGTATCCATCCGCGAAATTTGCCAAGCACGCTTGCATAACTGTACAGCAATGATACGTGCGGCTTCTCCCAAAAGGGGCTCTTCTTTTCTAATTTGGGTTCATTCTCGTTATGACTACACATGAAAATAAACCTTGTTGCTATTATTAGATTTCTCGATCTATCTAAGATTGGAGGTAATCATAATACTACATAGAAAAAAAAAAGGAAAAAAACTTTTTGACCGGTCCCCGGTTCGTAATCGTGGTGTGATGAGAAATACGCTGCGCTAAATTAGTGAGCAAGTCGGTAGAAGGATTGCGCTATCTTTAAGAGTCACTCCACTGAAGTTCCATCTACAGCGGTAGCGTAGCTTACCAAGAAAGAAAAGATATTGAAAATATAGAAGTGTACTGTAAGTAATAGTCAAGCGGATGCCTACCCCCACGGGGGTGAGAAATGCCCACTGCCACCCACCTTTCGTCAACTTTATGAGGTAATGTTCTATTTTGGGACTCCTGACTGATTGCCTCATTGCATAGAAAATTGCATGAAAATTGAAAAAAAATATCTTTAGCAGAGAAAATTTTTCGAGATAGCAGAATTTTTAGCTACTGGTGTGGGGGTTAATACACAGCAGGGTTACTTCAAATTGGGGGCTGGCTAGGAGTAAGCGCATGAGCTTCAGTTGCTCAGAACCACAGAAGGATACTTACCTTCACTTGCTGAATGGGTACCAGGTTAATCTATTGTAGCATTTCTCGTAAGTCAATTTCTATGCTGATTATCAGCATTGCTGTAGCGAATTAAGAAATTGCAACATGGTGATTTATGGGGCCGTTCCCGTAACTCGCAGTTAGGGAGTATTTTTCTTTTTTCATTTTAGGCAGTGATGGAGTCTCCACATCACTAGGGCGGTGCTATGACTTCAATAATATATTTTTCAATATGCTAGCTTGCTCCGGTAGCTTGTTTGGTGGGCTTTCAGTTCCTTCAGTGTGAAGTGCCCAAATGTGCAATATTTATGCTACTTGTGATAGGGATATAGAAAATAAGATAAGCCTGCAGAGCCGACAATCGCACCCCAGTGGAAAGTCTCTTCCTCGGATTAGCAGGCATGCTTGGGACAAAACTAGACGGTACGCTAAGAAGACTAGGAAATTTAAAGAACAAGACCTCAATCAGGTACTATAATTACACACCAACTGAATCCTTCTTGTTTCTTTTTTTTTACTATTTAGAATTTACTACTTGAACGAGTTTGAAGGATACTGCATTTTGTAATATTTTCCAAGCAAGGTAACGACGAAGTAACAAAAGAAAATGCTAACTCCAATAGAGATAAACCTAATTTTCCATTATTTTCTCCTCTCTAGTTGCTATCAAAATGGGTTTAATTTGAATGGTATCAAAATCCCATACATCCTCTTTGGCATATATATCTTTTTTCAAGAATGGTACTATGTCTGCTTCGCTATCGACTTTCAAATTGAAGTGTGAGCCTATCAACTTACCATTTTCTCCGAGGATTGCGCCTGCGTTTGTTATAGGATTACCAATTGATGCTGGAATGCCCTTAAAGTGTACCCCTCTGTACTTCATTCGGTCAGCATTTGCCTTGTCGAGGATGGTTACAAGGAACTCCTTAGCTCTCACTACTGTTGATGGTTTCATGGAAGCTGATGATCAAGAGAGAGAAAGAAAACTGGCTATAATTTTTATTTTTATTTTTTAATTTCGCTTCGCTCTCAGCGTCTTTAGAGCACGAATCTCGTTTGTCCTGAAAGAACTACCCCTCTACTTCTAACCTCTCAGTTGTACCCCCTCATTATGGTCGTGAGCCTTATTATCCTCAAGGTTAGTTCTACACAATCTTACAAGTACTCTTGAAGATCATCAATACTACGAATTTAACTAACTAATTAATTCTTCTTTGACTTCTTTTAACCAGTACAATTATCTAACTATACAAACTAAAAGAAATTGAAAAAGAATTCTTTTTAATAGGGTGAAATCAAAAATTAAAAGACCCACACTTCTCCGACGGAAAAGTCGGCAATCTCTCCCGCAGCGCTGTGCAATGCAAACGGGAATGGTTGGCTAATAGACTACTTGATCTCTATTAGCATCTCAAGGTAAGTATGAAGAAAAAAAGACTAAACCGAAAACTGTTAGTTTTCTGAATCGGAACTTGCATCTTTATAGTCTTGTCTGTGGCCGGGTAACTGTGAAAAACTTAAAAGCTGAGGTTGAATTCCTTAGTGGTGTTTGGGTGTAAGTGTCAAAGATGGTAGAAGTGGAAAATTAGTATGGGTGTCGTGATGTAAGTGATCAGACTAGCTCTGGTAGCTCTAATAGGTCCCATTTTGCACCCAAAACAAAGTGTGATCTTAGTCCACTAGTGGCACTTAGGATATATCTGATTTTTATATCTTCTTGCTTGAACAGATACCTGTCAGCTCCTATAGACTCTTTCTTTGCTTAATTTTTTTCGAGATCTACAATTTTCAGAACAACATTGATGTTAAGTTCTTTACTTTTATCGAATATTTCTTACATTGGTCAGTTAGATCGGCTTTCTTCAGGGTATTTTCTACAGGTTCTGTAAATATCAGCTCTATAATATTTATCATCTATATACATTCCCAAGTTGCCATCATAGGAACGGTATGTCCTATATTTTTCACAATAATTAATCGTTTTCCAGAAGCGATGGCACTATAGGCACTTATGCACCCAATGCAAGTTCCCCTACCTAAGTTCAAATTAAAGGTGCCGCTTGTAACGAAGCCAATAAGATTTTCAACTTTAATATCTCCTTCTCCACTTTTCTGTGAACTAGCATATATTCTAGCGTTGTTGATTGGATTACCCTTACCAATCAATGTGATCTTGACTTGTACAACGGGTAAGGGAGGAAATTTCATCGTAGGAGTCAAGGCCATAGATTGAAGATTATCGACAATTTTCTTACTACTTAATATGATTGGCAACGACACTAGTTCTCCTCTTAACCTTTTTTCCTCATCAACTTCCTTAGCATATTTGATAAGCTGAAGTAAATCAGAAGTCGCCTTAAGCTGCAACTTGGAATCCATAAAGGTGCCAAAAGCTGAGTTAGGGTGTATGTTGTCTTGAGGATTACCTCTTCTAATTATTTCACATCCATAAGTTGCCAATTGTAAAAATCTCCAATCACTTCCATGAAAGTTCCCGTGCTCGCTTCCCTCTAAATCAATCTTATGACTCGAAGGCTTCTTGTTATACTTTTTTGTATTTTCTGCAATATTGAATTCACTCTCCAAGTAGCCATCTTTGAGAAAAGGATAGTCAATTGGAAACGTTGACTTGCCATTCTCATAGTTTATTTGATGTAACTGCGATACACCACCAAATTTTAAGTCAGTAACTTTGACTAATTCTATCCAGAAAGGAAGTACCCAAAACCAAGGTAAGATGACGGTCCAGTTGTTAGACGACTTGAGCTTGGTGATAAGGAGTGGAATGGAACTGGAAGAAGTAGTTTCTCTTTTCGTTTCTCCAATATTATTTCTCTTAGACAATTCCTTGATAGTTAATTGGTCTTTGTAAGTTTCATATCTACGAGAGTTGTCAAACAATTTAAGTAGAGCCAGATCATCTACTGTTGGAATTGTGGAAAGGTTCACCAATAAGTCATTAATGGTCTTTCCTTCACTAAAACTCTTCGGTGGAGCGGTGGGCTTCAGCCAAAGTCTAGGATCTTGCACATTGATTGCAAATGTAGTACCAACGGGGATAGTATTATTTGAGTCTGATTGAGCAGCCAACTGAAACCAATTCGCCGTAGCTGACGTATCTTTTTCAGCACTTTTGTCCTTATGTAAAATTTTACTCAAGCTATACAATGCACCGGGTCCTGAGAGCTCCAAGCTACCAAGGGAATATCTACAGTCGTGAACCTCTCCTTCACCGTTCAATAATTCCTTCACATATTCGAAATACTCCGAGTATAATGAAGGATGTAATCGAATGAGAATCTTATTTTGATAAATGAAGATCAAGCCCTTGCCTACTACAGAATCTTTCAAGTAAATCCAATCGTCATAGGTCTTTTTTCCACTTAAAAACTGTTGAGGAACCAACCGGTTCTTAAATTTCGTAACATTCTTCAAGACATAGTCTCTTTGCTCAGTGGATGAGATGTGCACTATCATACTATCGTAGTAGGAAGTATCAAAACATATAGCATCCTGCTTGGATGCTCTATTAATAGATTTGAAGCATTTTTGAGTAGGACTGTAGGGAATTTGGTAACCAAATCTCTTAATCATATGCGCTCTCTTAACATGCCAAACATGCGTTGGCAACCAAACGTATTCTCTTTGGCGCTTAGTATACTTTATATTCCCACGAGGTATTGGAGCAAATCCATTCACTCCTGAGTTATCATAAGACCCCATTTTGTTATTAAGTAGAGAAGTGGCGGAAGACTTTGCTTCTTCGCCTTTTCCCTGCTGAAGTTCTCGCTTCTGAGTCTTCAAAAGCTTTATTCTCAGTCTCAATTTCAAGCCATCCTGGTTCAATACAGAGGGTATACCTCTCAACTCCTTTATTCTACTTGCCAATTTGAGCAATTTAGATGCCATTTTCAATTTGTAGAGGGCTCTTCCCCTGGGTAGTTTGGGTTTGGGTGGAATCCCGTTCACAGAGTTCTGCATCTCATTGATAGCTCTATTCCTAAGTCTCTTAGGAATTCTTTTTACATTATGAGAAGCAGTACGCCTTCTCAATGTCCGAGGTAAGCTCTGGAAACATCTATTAGAACCAGCATATTTTGCCTTTAACTTAGCCTTCTCCAAAGAATGAATCTCGAACTCTCGTGAATTGAGAAACTCAGGCACCGAGAGCTTACCTTCCTTGTACGCGGAATCAGTAAGATCTGTACGGATTGTTCTGGAATTGTAGAGCTTTGCTTTCTTGACGTTCGGTACGCCCTTCTCTCCAGCCATTTTGCAATCGAATTATCAACCTTACAAACCTGGTGTTGGAGAAAAAAGATCAAATACTTAACCATCATCTCTTCGAGTGATGAGGCCCATCACTAAATTTTGATTTTTCGTGGCTCACGTACTCGCTAAGAAAAACGCAGACGCTAAAATGGCGATGTTAGGCAAGGTAGACGCTAGAAATGGCAGCGCCAGGAAGGGTAGACGCTAAAAAAGGCTGCGCTAGGAAAGACAGACGCTGGAAAGACAGACGCTAAGAAAGACATACGCTAGCTAGGAGATGAAAACAGTGGTATGAAGAAGGTGGTATAACTACATCGCTTCTCAGTCGATTGATACAAAGATGTCATGACACACAAGTACTCTCCCTTTTTATCTCCAAAATGTTTTCAGAAGAAGCGTAAATCTGGTTTTTATGTCATTCATTAGGCTAGGGAGCCGTCTTATCTTACACTGGAATATTCATGCACTGCTTTTTCATTTACACTATTGCTAAGATTCATACAACTGTTGTATGCATTTTTATTACTATATTATATTATTCGTTCTTCCTTCTTTCTTTCTTTCTTCCTTCGTTTTCTCTTTTCTTTGGCCGTTCTTAACCATTATCTAACTTTTTAGTCTACTTTTTCCACCCTACTAATAATAAGACACCCCATACAATGTTTGCAAATGAGTATGATCCTTTTGCCAATTAACCAAGATCTTCATTATGTTATCTTCTAATATTATGTCATGCTCCCCCACATATTTATCACCATTAACTTCTTTCAACCTCTTCATCTCCTCTCTCCTAAATTCATGAATCATTTTAACCAATTTTAAGATCCCCCTACCACCTATTATCGCATTTTCGTTATCATCCTTGATATCTACATTAATTACATGAACTGCCTTTCTCACTTCATTATCAGCAATGGGGTTCAGAACCATTCTAACCATTAAATCATCCAACACCGAGTCAAAACACCTCTCCTCACAAGTTATCACTAAATCGAACTTTCCCGCGTAAACATTTTCGTGCCATTTTTCCGGTGCCTTCTTGATATGTCTATTCCTATCAATCATATGAATTAACCCATTAGATTCATACATCTTACGGCAATCTTGAGAGGTTAAGTCTTGATAGATTTCTTCATAGGGTGTCCCAAACTCGTAAACATTGGGCTTGTCAATCAGAGGTCCCGGAAGTCTAACAGCAGAACCAGTTCCAAACGATTGGACATCGAATCCGGCGTCTCGAAGTTGCTTATGAGATTCCATAGAACGGTTATTGTTAGAGGCACATACTGTACATATTTTAAGACTATCTTCAATTTTTTCAACCATTACAAAAAAAAACGTATAAAAAGCGTGAAAATGTTAAAATTAATTTTTTAAAGGGTGGGTTCTAGAAGTAAATATATAAACAAGAAGAGTGGTTGCTTTCTTTATGGTATAACTAAGCTGAAGAGGGCCTGCTAGAAACGGAAACTTCAACACTTCGAAGATTTTTCTTAGGAGATCCGTATTGGTACACGCACGTCCAAAATGCAACCTAGGGGAAGCCTTGCAAGGTTGGGACGGGACGGGAGGTTCTGACTGGGAGCAGCCGATGCTACATTAGGCTGTGACAGAAGGTCGGCCAACGCTACAATGACTGAGATTCTAGTATTTATGATCGTTTATTTGTTTAATTATGATGTACTTATAAAGAAGAGTAGAAAAATGGTAACCAGGAATGCAGGGTGTGAGTTTTATGTGGAGATTCTAACTACACCCTGAAGTGACTTGTAGTGATTTTTATAATGCGTAGGGCGACGAGTCTCTTCGGAAATGGATTCACGCTGTGCGTTTACACTTTGATGCCATCTCCCTCCAAGTCGCTTGCCTCGCCTGCTCCTTCGCCCCCATCTTTAGCCTCCTCTCTAGCTATACTGACGACCTCGTCAATCTTATCCACCCCCTCTTCCCTTGATATGTGGACGCTCTCCTCTTTGACAGTTACTTCATCTCCCAAGTCTACGAACCCATTTTCTGTTTCCTCACCGACTTGAACAAAATCTTCTTCCGCCATTTCGACCTGCGAAAGCGAGAAATCGTCCGACAGGATGTCTTGCTGGGAAGTTGAGCTTCTTCTTTCCTTCTCTCTTTGTTCGTGGAAATGGATAATCTTGTTCTTTGACTCTAGAAGCGATTTGGTGAAATTTTGGTAATCTTCCAGGTCCTTTATGAGAAACCCTGCCATCATGGATGGATCCATTCCTCCTATGTCAAGAGTCAGATACTTTGTGGTGTGGTATGTGGAGTAGTTGACAGACTCGGTATCGCTATTTGGATTCAGCTGCTGAGGGTAGTGCGGGTCAAGGTAAAACAACTTCGAATCTTGGAACCCAAAGAAGTAGTACGAAGACGAGGGCTTCCCACCGGCAATCCCCACAGATTGAGGAAGTGTAAGTAAGTCGAAGAGGGACGAGTAGTAGTAAGGGCTAATGTTATCTATGCCCAATCTGATAGGAAGAAGAACGAGTACTGTCCGTCCCGCTGCCAATAAGTTTTGGATTTGATCGTTATACAAATCACTAGACTCGCTGATAAGAACCTGCGGCACTTTTGAATCGCTCACGCTATCACAGAGTCTCTTAATCGACAAAGACGCAGCGCTGGGTCCGAACCATTCACCAGGCTTGACCTGGAGTGGCAGTTCTCCAGCAACCTTGATGAAGTTATGAAGCGAAAACGGGGCCGTAGACCTATCGAGGAACATGTCAATGATACCCAGCAGCAGCAGCAGCAGCAGCAGCAGCAGCGTACCGTAGCCTGCCTTGAGAAGTGCATTGGCCAAGAGTGACTGGCTGGTCCGGATCATGCACCCCCAACCAACGTCCGTGGTGAAGTAATCGTTATCAGTAAGGCTATGCAAATTGGATATCGTGGACGAGATGTTTCTGTTGAAAAGCATCGAGTTGATAAAGGAAAGCGGCGCCGGGCCTCCTTCGGCTTTAGATATAGGCTCAAACCCTGCACGATAAGTTAGCCAGATCTTAGATAAGATATCCGCGTTGAGTGGCACAGTGTCCTCTGGTTGGTAGGACTTGCCAAGCACATGAATGGCCGATACAGGCACAGAACTGGAGAGCAAGCTGCTGGAGGCCCTCTCAGCCAAATTGGACCACAATTGGGAGATCATCGGGGTGATCGACGGCGTGGAAGAAGACGATGATTCAGAGTTCAGTTCAAGGACCCTAGAAACAGGACTACTATCGGCTTGTATACTTTCATTGGCACCAGCACCCGGCGCCCCAGAACCGTCTCTACCTATGTTATCTGAAGATGTCATACTATCAGGCAGCAGCTACACAAAGAAACTACTCTTTGTTACCTCCCGCTTGTGTATCATACAACAAGAACAACAGGAGTGTGTTTGCGCTTTTTGCCCTTCAGCTAATCGAACCCCAGCCCTACACGCCCGGTATGGGAGGGGGAAATGTTGGATGGAGCACGTGATCCAATGATAAGACCTGGTAGAGCAGTGGAACGGGGTGCAATACTTCTGGGGTGGGGGTGTCTTTCGGGTTTTTTGGGCTGGGAGCTGGGAGAAGCCTTCGACGTAGAAGGGGACACACCGAGTCATGGGACCAAGCAGCTGCGTAGACGTCATAGTACTCACCCTGTAGAGTCCTCAGCTCAGCTCAGCTCAGCTCAGTTCTCTGCTTGCCTCTCTCTGCACCGCACCTCTCCAGTGCGGAATTGCTGCAGACCTCGTTTTGAGTCACAATATGCAGGACACCACACCCCGAGATCACAGAGCGTTTACAAGCACAACCCATCACATCAACTTGGTGTGTTCTTTTACCCATATCTAGGTTATTAGTATAGTGACAGCATGGCGAAAAGAAAGGGAGGAAAGCCGCCAATGGGGCGATTCCCCAATAAGAACAAAAACAAAAAGAAGAACAGAAATGGAGGCGCTGGTCCCTCACAAAGCAATCGAAGACCTGAAGGGAAGATGCCCGGTGGCGTAATGCCAGAGCTCTACGATCTCGAACATGGCCCATTACCTGACATTGGAGATGATTCTGTGCCGAACATGAGAAGCATGTCTGCCAGACCTGGCAGAAACGTGGGAAGGAGGTCATACGGCGGGGCTGGTGGCCATGGTGGTAGGCCACACCACTCGCTAATGGAAGAGGTTGGATATACCGCTAAGAACATGGAGAGAACTGTACGTGAGCCCTTAAGAAACAAGCCGATTGAATTCGTCAAGGCCAAGGAAGTTTATGACCCAAACAAGAAATTAAGAGAACAAGAGCCGAAGAAAACGAGCTCTGAAGCTGGTATTCCAAAGGAGCACCAAGACTTATTGGATTGCTTAGAGCTGACCTGCTTGGAGGAGGAGCGTCCAACTAGGCCGAGAATTGAAATCAGCAGCGATGAAGAGGAGGGAGGGAAGGATGACGAGGAAGAAGAAGAAGAGGGAGAAGATGAGGAAGAAGAGGAAGAGGAAGAGGAAGAAGAGGAAGAGGAAGAAGAAGAAGAAGAGGAAGAAGAAGAGGAAGATGGAGAGGAGGAACTTCGAGTGGAAGAAGCTAGGGCTGAGGTGGTAGCTGCTATAGTAAATGAGGAGGAAAATTCTAAAGTGCAGGACATCGAAGTGTCCGTAGACGATGCAGAGGAGGTATGGCAGACCGAGGAAGAGAGTGACGATGAAGATGAGAACGAAATATTATCACTGCCAAGCCCCGAAGTTGTGGATGCTATGGATGCTGATGTAATTGAGTTTTCCAAGGAACAGTCAATCGGAGAGGATGAAGAATCAGACCTTCATTCCAACGAATTTGTCATCGACAATGAAGGCGACTCTTCCCTTTCCTCTAATGCGAAGCCCTTCACTTCTCTTATAGTCGACACCTCAACATCCAGGTCACAAGCAATTCCATCCTCAACCCCTGGTGTTGAATTCAACCCAGTCTTAACTATTGGTAAGGTCAGCTTACAGACCTCCAAGTCCAAATCTGGAACGACTGCGCATTTGATGTCTGTTCCGAGAAAGGCAAGTGGATTTGTAGATGAGCACGAAGATTCAGACTACTTCATGGAATCGGAATCAGACAACGATCGAGCTGCATATAAAGATTACATCTCTCAAGTAATGAATGCAATGCTGGACGACACTGACTACGAGAGTGAAACCAACTTTGATGTGATGGCAGAATCATCTGAAGAAAGCGAGGAAGAAGATGTGGACGACGATGACATAGATGAAGAAGAACCAGAATATGGCTTTCTTTCTGAAGACTTTGAGTTCGACATCTCTCAACTTTCCATATCTAATGTTCGCTTTGGAACTGCAACCCAATACTATACGAAGTGCTTGGAGCTCACTGGGTCAATATCTGACTCTATGTGGGTAGATGAAGACGAATTGTATGAGTTTGTCCTACTGAAGGGAGTGAAGGAGCATAGATTTCAGAGTTTTATGAGACTTATGACCAAAGGACTCATTGATGAAGAGCCATTCGAAGTACCTAATTATTCCGACGTTTACATTTCTGAGACTTCAGAGGAAGAAGAAGAAGAAAAGGAGGATAACTCGCTTGATGACTTGATTGCCTTGAGAAAGGCAAATAAGACGACACCTGATTTCATCCCACAATCTACTTCGTCTGTTCGTACAAAGGGTAAGGGCAAAAACAAACATCTTGACCTATCTGGCCTTGAGCTTACAACAGATATGCATCAAGCCTTGCAGGATCTGTACCAAAGTCACCGTGAAGCCAAAAAAAACAAAAAGCTTAAGAGAGAAGGAGAAAAGTTCCAAAAGGGTGTATCTAAACACGATCTCTTTGTCTTATACCCATTTTCAATACATGTTAAGGAAATACGTGAAGAATTTGACACATTTCTTCATGATACTTCGAGGGATAGTATGAGTTTCCCACCTTTGGATCCACACGGAAACAAGACAATTAACAAAATTGCCGGTTTTTTCAACATGAAGGCTACAAGGTGTGGAGCTGGGCTCCATACCTATATGAAAGTCTCGAAAAGTCGTAAAACTTTCCATTACCTTCCAAGATATGACCAAATTGGTTCTGTTCTTAGACAAAGACCTATCTTCAATAGAACTGATCAGAAGAGGCCAAAGAGTGAAATAATCGCTACGGATGGAAATGCCAAGAAGGACCGTGAACGTCAAAGGAATAAAGGAAAGACCGCCTCTGTACAAGAAGGTGATATTGTTGGAAGCAAGGCTCCAGAAATCGGAGTAAATAATATTGGTAGACAATTGTTAGAGAAACTTGGATGGGTAAAAGGTGAAGGTTTGGGAATTCACGGAAAGAAAGGTATTAGTGAGCCTGTTGTGGCTGTGGTTAAAAATACTAAGCTTGGTATAAGGACAAGCTCAACCGTCACTAATTAATCTTCTTCCCTTACATTTCCTGAATCTTGATACTGCAAATTTAGAGGAGAAAAAGGTAACACTACTAGACGGCGGAAGCGCCCATAAAACTTTTAGATATACGGTATTCGTAAAATATTAAAAATTATAGATAAAGGGCAATTTTATAGATAATTATAGACATTCATTCTTCTAAAACGCAATGGTTACATGATGTAGGCATTATTCTACAATGCTCTTGAGCGATTCAACGACGTGAGATTGAGCTTAAACTATATTCAATTCATGTTCTAGTAATCTAAGCGCAATACTATATCATTATTAGGAATATTCTATCAAATCTATTTCTTTCCCTTTTTCTTAACTTTAGTTGGAGCAGCTGCATGACCAGTTACCTTAACATGCTGAAAGAGTTTGTTTCTAGAGGTAAAAATTTCGTCACAGACGACACATATTTCCGAGCCGTTTGGAATCTTCTCCTTCTTAGTACCTTTATCTTTCTTACCAGCCTTCTTAGGGGCAGTCGAAGAAGTAGGTATTGGCGTTGAAGCACGAGATTCTGATGTTTCAGCTTCTTTCAAATCGCCTTCCATTGGGGTAGAAGCTTTCTTTTTCTTCGTTTTCTTTGGTTTCTTAATATCCCAGTCATCGTCAGAGTTATCTATTTTCAAACCTGCTGCTAATTTTGTTAACTCATCATCTACTTCTTCCTCTGAATCTTGAACAGGTACACTTTTATTAGCCTTTTTATTCTTCTTCTTCGCTTTCTTCGATTTAGGGAGTGGAATGGTGAATGATGAATCTGAAAGAGACAAGTCACTATCGAGATCATCATCAACTGGCAAGTCTAACAAATCTGTACTCTTATCTCCATTGGTTTTTAAAATGTCTTCTACTGCACCCTCATCCTCAGATATATGCTCAATTTCTTCTTCATCAAAGCTTTCCAAGTCTTCATTTTCATTCTCACTTGCAGTTTCAAATTCGTCCAAATCTATATCATCTTTGTCAATACCTAGCTCAATACCCTCTTGTTTCATTTCCCATTTTAATTTCCTTAGTATCTTTCTATGCTTATTACTCAGTTCATGTGCTTCAAATTGCTTCTCGGACTTGAAGAATTTGTTACACACCACACATTCGTAAAGATTATCTTCAATGTCACTTCCTTCATCATTATATTTATCATCATCACTGAATTCACTGTCAGATTTCAATTCATATTCTTCTTTAAGCATATCTTCCAACTCTTTTAATTCCTTCTCAGATAGCTTTTGCCAATCTTGAACAGCACCAGCAGACTGATTTTGAGCCAACTGCTGCAACCTCGCCACTCTCGCAGCTTCAACTTGTTCTTCCAACTCTTTCTGTTGCTTTTTCTTTTTTTCTAATTCATATTGCTTCAATCCCTCTTTAATTCTGGGGTCCCTCTTCTTTATAAAGGTCACGAAGTTTCTTATCGCTTCATTGTACTCACGCTTTGCTGTGTCTCTCAATTTCTTGTTTTCCTTCTCCATCAATCTACGTGTCTTACGATCTGGAGCTTGGCTATATCTGTACTCATCTTTCCAATGGAAGACCTTCACTGTTTGGAAAGAAGACCATGCACTGTAAAATTTCCTGACATCATTGGCATAGTCACTTTTACTGCTACCAAATTTAGGGTATAACAATGAAGATGGATCTACTACGTTAGCCTGTGGTGTGTCATCGAGCCACTTGTCAAACCCATCTAGTGATTGGGTCTTACCATGACTGACTTCCTCTGAAGCCAATTTATCGAATAATCTACCAACTACACTATATATACCTGCTAAACTATCGTCCAACTTCACATACAAGGTGGGGTTGAAGTATCTCATAATTTCTTCAACCATTGTACCCGCCACAAGTGGATCATAAAAGTTTTCATCGTATGTGCCACCACCGGAAGTTTCGCCTATTTCGTCTTCCCTCAAGATTTGCAGCTTATGGGAATCATACCAAGCTCTCTCCTGTGGGTCTGAAAGCACTTCATAAGCCGCTCTAACCAAGGCAAATCTAGCAGTAGCACCTTCCACATCATCTCTATTTTTGTCTGGATGTAGCTGAAGAGCCTTCTTTCTGTAGGCTTTTTTTAACTCTGAGTCAGTAGCAGTTATTTCTACTTGCAAGAGCTCATAGTAATCGGTTTTCATAGCAACAAGAAGGTTTATTTGACCTACGAATTGGGTCATTAGCTGTAGATGATTCACCTTGTAGCCTAAAATTTTTCACATCCATATTGAGGCTACATGCAGGAAACACTGATAAGAAGAATCAATTTGCACCCAGTGGCACCCACTCCGAAGAGACTTGAGCGTTAAAAACTACCAAGAGGGTTGGTTTTAATATACTTTCTATGTTTATTTGAAAAACTAACTTACTTTTTTTTTATTAATATCCCGATAAATACCCCTAAATTTCGACTTTAGTTGATTTAAACGCCTTGTTAGAACAATGTAATATAATATCATTCGTGCTTTCAAGCTCTTTGGCTCCAATTGGAAATCATATGCATCATAGCTCCAAACGATTTAAACAATTGATTTACTGCTGATATTTTTATGGATACATTATAGAGCTTCTGGAGTTGAACTAAGCCCGAAGTATCATATACATTTTTTCCTACCATCCCTTCGAATGATAGTCGTCTCCTTCATCTTCGAGGATGAACTTCTCTAGCTTCCCACTCTCGATCACCTTTTCAGGTAAGGGAATTTTTCCAAGTTTGTAATCGATGATAATCGAATCCTTTAAGGATTCGCTTAATTCCGTCGATAAATTCGATCTTATTTTATTCTGCTTGGGAGTATACTTTGGAGTAGCTGCTGCTGTATTATCTGTATTTACACTGGTCAGCGGCAGCTTCAAAGGCTGAGATTCCACCTTTTCTATTTTATCTTCCCCTCCTTTCGCAGGTTGATACTGCTCAGATTTTGTAGTTTTAGCAGCGCCTTTTGGAGATTCTTCTTTCTTCTTGAAGATACCATTCATGACAAAGCTTCTTCTTGATGGTAGCATTCCCTCGTTTTCACCATTCAACTTTGCACCACTGTTTCCATTTCCATTTCTAAAAAACCCTGACAAGTTCATAGAACTTTTCAGTAACAAACCATTGATGCTCAATGAAGAGGTACTTCTCCTTACTGAATATTTATTCAAACTCGAGGAGAGTGTCTCTACATCACTGCCAACACCATTAGAATAGTTCGGCGTCAACAACAGTTCAGGACTACCTGTTTCTTCCGCAATGATGTCCACAGTTGAATTCGAACGGACAGAAAGGGATTTGATGGTAGGTGTTTGTGTTACCACATTGAAGTCACTTATTCCGACTATAGAATCCTTCTTAGCCAAGGGTAAAGATTCCGCGTTCATTGCTGTGTTCTGGTATGAATGCCTTTTGAAATCGAGTAGACTGTTCGGTTTCTTTCCCCCATTGCCACCATCGCTTCCTGCTCCAACACTATTAACATGATTATCGAAAAGAATGGATTGCTTGTTCTTGTCGCTGCCTACAATCAACAGGTTTCCGTTAGATGAAGAGGCTGCTCTCATGACATCTGTAGTAGAAGACCTCTTGAGAGAGGGTTTCTCAGCCATTCTATTTAAGAAAAGGCCAGACAAGAGCGACCTAGGCTGATAACTACCACCACTTCCACTCCCCCCGTTATGACTACCACCCATATCACTATGACTTTTACCACTATTGTGATTATTGTTGTTATTGTGGGTGATTGAAATGCTCTCCGAGTGCGTGACCATGGTTGGGTCAGTGTTGGCCCGGATTGGCAATTCAATGGACCTTTTGCTGAACACAAGTTCTTCCTTCCTGTTAAGGATTACGTCTTCTTCCTCGTCTTCAGATGAAACCGACTGCCATGCGCTATCGTTATCGTTTTCATTTTCCGAGATATCCGTCAGCGAGCAAGACCGGTGGGAAATAGACTTCGTGAGCTGCTTCTCTTTCGGAGGAGACTGGAACAACGAGTCCGATCTCTGGCGCTCGTTCACGCCGGGCATGGAACCAACACCGGATCCAGATCCAGATCCAGACACAGACACAGACCTAGTAGCAACCGTGCTACTAGTTTTTGCATTATTATTATTATTATTATTATTGTCGTTCTTGTCGTTACTAGTACCTCTGCTCGTACTGTTCTCAGTCGGAGACGGCGAGTTTGCAATGAAAAAGATATTCTGCGAGTCCGCTGCATTTCTCTTGAATAGGTTAGTTGACAGCTGAGTGCCCGAGGGGCCCGCTGCCGATGCTGGTGCCTGAACCGGTTGACTTTGGTTGAACGCAATGGAAACATTGCTAGGAGAGAACCCCCTGACAAACGATGTCTTCGATCGAGGAAGCGGCACCTCTCTCTCCTGCGGTGATCTAGGAGTTCCAGCCTCCACCTTACCACCGCCATTATGCTTATCCTTGTGTGCACCAGCAGCAGGCGATGTATCCTCTCCAACCAGCTCCGCCTCGCTTTCACTGTCAAAGTAGTCATCCTCATCGTCTAGCTCTTCGTCCTCATCTACTTCGCTGATATCACTGATATCGCTCTCGCTGTCGCTTTCGATCTCGATTCTGTTCGACCCCTTGACATTGTCACCCCCGTCAAGGTCCAACTCTTGGTCCGTTCTGGTACCGCTCTGATGGGAGAACAACGTAGACCTAGTGCTCAAGTCCAGGAACAACGAGTTGTCTCTATTCTTCAAGAACTGCTTGGCCAGCGGCGCAGAGTCTCGTAGTATCATGCCTTCACTCTCCACTTCTTTGAAATTAAGGATGGGACTGAACTTCCCCTGAAGCGTTTGTCGCCTATCACTGTGTCCTATTTGAAGTAGTCTCCAACTACGATAGTTGAGTCGCCTTACTTCGTCTACTTCTTCGTTCAACTTGCCCCTGCTTGTCACGCTCTGCCCGCTATTCAACATGCTGACCTCCGAATGGTTCGTGAGCTTCCATATCTTCAATAGTGTCTGATGTAACACACCCTCTCCTTCATCGCTATTATCTAAAGTGTAACCAAATTTAATTTCCATGATGAACCATGGACCAAAGATAACTACAAAAAAGCTGCTGTCCCCCTATGTAAGATGTTCCAGTACTAGATATATGTATATATGCGTGCAGTATATACACATACGCTACTGCTTTTGTATATATGTGTATCCTTTCCTTGTTAACTTGGCTATACGCTCTTCGTTTCTGGACCTTCACACTTTGTGACCAAGATCGTAATTTTTTTGTCCTTCCTGTGCCAAACTGATCTCAAGCCATAACGACAGAAAAAAAAAAAAAAAGGAAAAAAATAATAAATGACCTGTGCGACATTAACCATCAATGTGACAGTTATAGAAGACAGCCGGAATAGGAGAATCGTAGAGGGAGCAAAGAAGGAACGAGACGATAGCGAGCAAGATGGTAAAAAGGATAGACGAATAGGATAGAATTACAGCAGAGCTGGACGGGAGAAGGTGCGGTCCACGCTGGGAAAGAGGTAGTAGGTCCTTAGTAGATATGGGACAGCCAAAAGTCACTTGCTTACTTTTTTTTTTTTTTTTTTGCTCTTTTTTTTTTTGTCAACTGGGTTTCGAGACTTTTCTGCAAAATGTCAATGAAATTTGGACTCTATGCTAAGGCGGATTTATGTGGAAACCGAGGAGCAGCAACTCTGTCACGAAGCGATCCCATTCTCCAAGGTTTATAACTAGAGCTAAGAAAACTCAATGGGCGAAGTGTCGGGAGAATCACTCATAAGAGATGTAATGGAGAGACTGGAGAGAGAAAAGAAACTGTTTTACGCTTACTCTTTTAGCTTTAAGCGGGAGAGAAGGCTCTCATGTTTTATGGGCTACCTACTATCAGTCTGTCAAAAGATAATTTGGTATCGGACATAATCATGGTGTCAGACATTTTCATGACCTTGGTTACATGCAGTCCGATCCCGGTATTGGTTTTTGTTCCTGGAGAGTGATACGATCCTGCATACAAACCAGGTCTTGGGTTCTCCGTCTCGCTCAAAGAGCCACAGCTGCTTCTCCTTTACTCCCCTGGCCCTAGGTTTGTTTGACTAGCTACTCTCTCCAGAAGCACGGCGAGCAGCCTCCATCCCTGTTCCTTTTCTTTATTCAGTTATAATCTCTTTTTGCTCGAAATCTGTGCTCGCTGCTGCTTCGTCGATCCTGAGCGTGATTAGTACAGAGAGATCTAGAACACCAAACCTCTCACTTCGATGCAGTCCAGCAAGTGACAGCTACCGACTACCACATATTAGATTCCACTTACAGACACCTTCCAGGCCTGTCACAATATTCATTCAACGGATGCCTCAAATACGCATCCTATTACATCTTTCTCTTCTTCTTTCGTTCGTCCCTTAGTAACTGCCCCCCACTGTGCGCTCCACCCATGTTGCAGCCCTTCAGACGCCCACCTGCATGCAGACCATGCGCTTTACACACACATTTTACTGTGCGCATGCTCATTACTAACAACTTCGTAATATACTACCGCTAGTTCACAAGTACCCCTCTAATTCTATTCTCCAATCGCCGTAAAATTGATACCTCTCACACGATCTCTGCTCTGTCTGCGCAATTGAGCTTCTTAGCTGCTTTTAACCTCATTTTATGCAACACTCACCCTCCAACTCTCTTCCCTTCACGCATGATTCCCTGGTCATTTTAAGCTTTCTGCCCTGCTTATTTTTTCGCACGACGCATGTAATCAAGAATGCGCATCTGCATACGAATTTTCAATTGCTACATAGGTAGCAACCTTGGAAAGGTAGGGGAAAAGTTTAGTTTTATACTACAAACCTTCATACTTTCCAGGTATATCATAACTCAATTGGAACACGAACAAGTCTTACGGGACCCTAGTGCTGTTTTTTTGCTATCTTAGAAGTAGATTGTTCACTATACTTCCCCTTTATCTAGCCATCTCTTTCATTCTTTTCTTTGCAATTTTGCTTTCTTGTTGCCGCAATTTCGCAACCATACAATAAACTTTCTCCACGTTTGCTCCCCAAAAAGAACCATCTATTTAAGGGGCTAATATCCCTAGAAAATATCGCTTTTTCTTTTTTATAGCTCTTTAGTTTACTTATATCCATATTATAAAGAAATATATATATCAAAGTAAAAGAAATGTCTAGATCTACAAAATATATTATCGGTGGTTTGGCCCTTGTTGGTGGTTCTCTTTACGTTTATGACCAGCAAGTCAAGCAAGTTGCAAACAAAAGGAAAGTTCAACATGATGGAATTTTGTCCTCGTTCTCAAAACCTTCAGAGAAGCAAACTGACTTGAGAGAAGTGGGCTCTGAAAAGGGCTACAAGATTGGAGAACAATTGGAAAACTTAAGAAGTAAGGCTGACAAGAAGTTGGATCAATGGGAAATTCCAGATAAGGTGAATGAAGGGATCTCTGATTTGGAGAAGAAGAGAGCTGAATTGGCTGCTGCAGTCTCTGACAAGGCCCAAGACGTTGCAAATTACGCTTCTGACCATGCTGACAAGCATGGAAAGCAAAGCAAGTACCTTAGCGAAGAGGCTCACAAGAATGATCCTGGTTTTTTCTCCAAATTGGTCAACAAATCAAATGAAAAGGTTGACAAGGTTTCTAACGACATTGACCAATCTTTAGATGATGGCAAGAACTTCGTGTTGAAGCTGGCTGACAAGTACATTGATGGCGTTAACCAAATCGGTATAAAAACTGAAAATGCCGTATTCGGAACCAAGAAGTCTATTGAAGACTCTGTCATCGACACCAAGAACAAGGTGAAGAACGATTTGGAAGCTGAAAAGAACTCCTGGTTCAATTGGTTCCTGTCCGGAAAGTCCAACACTGAAAAAGCTAAGGATGACGCTATTAAGCAATATAACCAAGCCAAGAAGGATTTTGAATCTGCTAAGGAAAGCGCCGTTTCAGGAGGTAAGTCCTGGTTAAACTGGGGTGAAAAGCAAACTAAGGAGGCCCCCGAAGAAGCTCAAAAGAAATTGAAGGAAGCAGAAAGCAAATTCAACAGTGCATTGAGTAATTTGAAAGGATACGGACAAGATGTAATTGATTCCGTCAATAAGAAGGATTATCAAGGAAGAATATCTGAAGAAGAATTAGCTCAAAGATCATACTCTTCCCTTAGAGGATGGGGTGATTCTGCAGCTATTTTCGCTGAAGATGAATTGGAAACCATTGATTCATACAGAAAGAAGCATCCAAACACTTATAACTGGGCTGATGACTTATGGTGTAGAACTGAAAACTTATCCAAGTATGCTTATGATAGAGCAAAGGAAAACTACGACAAGCTTTCCAATGAAGCTGAAAAGACGAAAAACAAGGGCCAAGGATGGTTCTCTTCTCAAAGTAAGGATGCCGAAAAGAAGGCCGACCAAGTGGGTGATGACTTGAACAAGAAATTGGATGAAGCAAAGGCACAATTAGATAAGGCCCAAGGCAACTTCAACTCATGGTTAAGTAAGAGTGGAAAGACCTTAGCTGACTACACAGAGACTGCCATTGACAAGACCAAGCTGGGATTGAGCATTGGACATGAAGAAACCCAAAAGGGTTTAAGTGAAAGTAAAGACTGGATCAATAGCAAGAAATAATGTGACCAGTGAATATTGCTCTCTTCCTTTCTTTCCAACGTATGTACTTAGTTATACTTTTAATGTTTTGTAGAAGCAGAACAGAAATTATAAAAAAAATACAATATTATATATATTCTTATGTAGATAGCAAAGGGACCAATAAACTACCAATAAACCACTGCTTTACTCTACCTGATAGTGTGTTGTCTCTGTATTAGGAGCACCACCCTGGAGCATCTTCGTAGTAGTGAGCCCAGCTCATTTTTGCACCCAATTTTGCACCCATTAAAAACTTCATAAAAATTTTCAGATTTTCAGAACTAGCTCTCAATTATCAAATCTCTTAATGTATTACCTTATCTGTATGAGTCTGACATTCAACTAAGTGGTCTACGTCCATGTATAGTAGTACCATGGTGCAACCTTGCCGTGATAATCTTCAATCCTGCATACAAACAATACATGTATGCTAAAAACCATAGAGTGAAAAGTTACGGTTCACAACCACCAACTCTTTACTTCAGAACCCAATTGCTCCACAGTTTAGTATGTTGACTAGGCCCTTTTTTCGACCTGTATCGACAAGGAGATGGAGCAGCTCCATAGCCGGTAAGTTAGTGGGCCGTGACTTGACACCTACTATCCCCACACTCAACATCAACTCAGAGCTTCCCTCTGACCTATCTTCCATTTCCACACATGAGCTTTTCACCAAAACAGGATTTTTCTTCCATCCCAGGCCAGGTCTTGTCCATTGGCTCCCGATTGGACTTATGATTCTACATAAGGTTGAGGCTGTGACCAGGTCCAGAATGCTGGAGATAAAGGGTCAGGAGGTGAGCCTACTGACGTTGTCTTCCAAATCACTCTGGGAGAAGACAGGCAGGTGGTCCAACACCGAGCTCTTCAAGCTCAAGGATACGAGCGGGAAAGATGAATACTGCCTAGTGGCCACCTGTGAGGAAGAAATCACTGCCCTAGTGAAGCACAATCTCAAATCCTACAAGGACTTGCCTCTATTGTACTTCCAAATAGGCAAGAAGTACAGAGATGAGCGCAGACCAAGACTGGGACTTCTCAGAGGCAAGGAGTTCATCATGAAAGATGCTTATCTGTTTGATGTCAGCGAGAAGGATGCCATGGAGACCTATGAGAAAGTGGTTGGAGCCTATTACAAGATTTTCCAGGACTTGAAGATCCCGTTCGTCAAGGCCGATGCTGACACAGGAGACATTGGGGGTTCCTTGTCCCACGAGTGGCATTATCTACACAAGACTGCAGGCGAGGACACGTTGTTCACCTGTGACAGCTGCGGTAATAGCTCCAACTTGGAAAAGACGCTGAGTTACCCCGAGGAAGTCAGCAAAGGCGAAGAGGTGAGCGTGGAGTATTTTGTCACCTCCGACGAGAGCACTCTAGTCTGCGCATACTACCCCCTGAATCGAGTACTTGAGCCAGGATTACTCAAGTCTAATGTGCCAGATATCAACTTGAACAAGAAGGAAGGTGCACACGACGAAGACATTCTTTCAGGGTTTAGAGACGAAGAGGCGTTGATGACAAAGAAGGTCATCAGGGTAATGGATTCCAGGCTAGATCACACATCCAGGTTACCTGATTTCCCTGTTCCCTTTGTAAATCGTTCATTTATAACAACCATGTTCGACACACCAATCGTGAGTGCTCAAGAGGGAGAGATTTGTGGAGAATGTGAGGATGGGAAGTTACAAAGTCATAGGGCAATTGAGGTTGGCCATACATTCTACTTGGGAGACAAGTACTCCACTCCATTAGGGTTGGAAGTAGAGACTGCTGCCGGTAAGAAGCCGGTGGTCATGGGATGTTACGGGATTGGTGTCAGCAGAATCATTGCAGCAATTGGGGAAATCTTGAGGGACTCCAAGGGGTTCAAATGGCCGGCAATTATAGCACCGTGGCACGTCACCGTGATTGAAGCAGGTAAGACGAACAGAATGGCAGAAACTGAAGGTGCTGCTTCTTCGTTAGCAGATATTCAATACAGATGGGATGACAGAGATGGGGTCAGACTTGGAAGAAAAGTGCGCGATTCCAACCTCATTGGAATCCCATTGACGATGATTATCGGGAAGCTGTATCCTCAAGTTGAGATAGAAGTCAGAGGAGAGAAGTTTGGAGAAGAATGGAGAAAGGTGTGGGATGAAAGGCACCAAGAGCTTGCATGGGAGGTGGTAGAGGCTGAAGAAGATAAGCCAGAGAAGCACTTGGTTGACATCAGCAATGCCTCTATCGTAATCAAAGCACTCTTGAACGATATGTAGGATTGCAGAATGGAAGAGGAAACGAAGAAACGTTTGCGCACAGCAGCAAAGCCAAGGGAACCAGATTAGATAGCCTTCGTCATACATACGCTAGACTGAGACACGAGAAACGTTTGCGCACAGCAACAAAGCCAAGGGAACCAGTTTAGACTAGACTGAGACACGCTACATTCAGAAAGGAACACCGTGGCTGGGAATACGTAGAGAACATTTGTACATAGCACCAACGAAGGGGAACTAGAACACTACCCTTCGTGAATAACACACACTACATCAGACACACTACATGGACAAGAACAACACCACCAGGTAATATGTAGCTCTTCTCTCTCGTTATCTTTCATTTACATTAATAGTATTATCATTTTTACTATACAAAAACACCCTTGCGCCTAGCTTCACCTTTACGTTGCCGTGCTTGCCCACTGATCAGCTTAACTAGCAGCTCACTTAAGAGGAGAACTTACCAGTTATCTTGGCGAAAACGTGCAAGATAATAACGGAGAAAATGAAACCAACGGCAAGGAAAAGAACAACCAATGGGTCAACTCTTAAACCTTGAGCTTCATCAGTGAATAACTTCATCATGGTAGCTGAAGAACCTCCAGCACCGGCAGCTCTTGTGGATAAAGGCAATGCGTTAGCACTTTGCGACTTCTTTTCGGCAGTAGCCTTTCTCTTGACAGCATTTCTTAAACCACCTGGAGCTTGGGATGATGATGTAGACTAGGAAGTTGAGTTAGTAAGGATAAGGCAAAAAAAGTGGCCAAAAAACCCGGAGCGAGGAAAAGGCCTACCGTGGAGTGGGTGCGAGGCCAGCCTGAGGGACCAGATAGAGAGCAAAGCTCAAAGAGACACACCAATACCCCTACAGTACGTCTTTTTTTTTGCTTTTCTGTCTTGCTTCACGACCACCATGGCCCCCCCTGCACCCTCCACCAAACAGAAACGGTACATACCATAATTATTGTTCTTGTTTCTTGATCTTCAAGTAGAGTGGAAAATTATATTGATACGTACACCATTTTTCAGTTTGTTCGTTGAATTTTTTTGTCGCGGTGACAGATTGTCCTGCATGTAGCGTTTGATAGGCCATCTTTCGTGGTGGATTTGGAGAGAGGAGGGTGGTGAAGGAGGGCTGCGGTGGACCGTGAGAGGGATGTGAAGGATGGGAGCGGCTAGAGAGGTAAGGGACGGGCAACGAGAAATATCTGGGCTCTATTTCTGATTGGAATTGGCGATTTTTGGCAGGTTCAGTGTTGGTAGGTTTAGTACTAGTAGCTCAGTGGATCAGCGGAGTGCATGCAGGAGATAGCGCCGTAGATAATGAGCACAGTAACTGGCGTGCGAGCTGGTGGAGAAATAGTGACAAATTAGTGAGGGAATGCGAGCTGCTAAGAGAAATTAGTGAGGGAATTAGCGAGAGAGAGACACTACAGACACCAGATACTAGCACCAGACTGCACGCACTATTGCGCTGAACCAGGAAAAAAATATATAAAAGGCGTACAAGAATCAACTGAGCTCTTTTAGCTATCGAGCCATTAACTCACCGATCCATACTCCCACCTCTCCAGCCGCTGCTGTTCCTCACTCACCAGTCTTAAGACTGTGATACAATATTTTTTAGCGTCCTGTACTAGACTGTCGCACTCTTTCGTACTTTGACTGTCGTACTCTCAGTGTCGTACTCACTAGCGTAGTCTCACTGTCGTACTCTCACTAGCGTAGTC